AGCTTGTCTTCTCATTTGTATAATAAAGGTCCTACCTCACAGCATCTGCTTATGAGGGTCATGGTGACAAAATTGCCACTCATGTACTTATATAGGGATGGAACCAAGTTCCCAGTAACTGGGCAGCAATTACACGGGGCCCCTGCCATAAGCCTAGACATCAGGCATCTGGGATTTCTTCACACACACACACACACACACACACACACACACACACACACACACAAACAAACACAAAGTCAGCCCATCCAGAACCTTCTCCTTTGTCCATGAAGTTGGTTTCCTGGAGTTCACTACAGCCCAATAAATGCCTCAGGCCCCATGCTCCTTCCCAGGGAGCTTCCTGTGTTGAAAAGTCATTCCTCTCCCATCCCTTAGCCCCTGAGGCTGAGCCCCCTTCTCCTCCAAGGCCAGAAGTTTTCCTGGCACTGTCTGGGAACAGCAGCTGAGTGACCTCATGGAGGATATGGCCTTGCCAAACTGGTTTGCCAAACAGGTCCCCAGCCCCACTCCTGGGACTGCTGGTCATGACCTTGGGGACCTCCAGTTCTGCCCATGCACAGTCTTTGGATCCAGCCAATCCTGGAAAGAACCAGTTCTTCTCCCCTAGAAACCCCATGTTCCAGCCTCACCTACCTAACTTTTCCCTCAAAAAGCCCCACTTCCTATCCTTTACCCATGCTTTTTACCTTTCCCTAGCCCCTCAGCATGTCTGACAGTAAGTGAGGGCCTTGTTCTCTATAACTTTAGAGTTCAGACACCACCTCTCCCTCTCCTCATACTAGGCTATGAGACCCCAACAGCAGATCCAACAGCAGCCCAACTCTAACCCCTCCATCCTTCCCAAGGCCCGGCAGTGCCTGTACTCCTTCAGATGTCCTAGGCCTTGACCTTGGCTGGCCTCACAGCCACTTGTGAGCACATCCAAGGTGGAGTCCCCTCTTGGAATTGTATGTTGTCTAGTCTAGGGGAAGAGGGATTAGAAAGCATGAGGCACAACTCCCCCAATTTGCAAATGAGGAAATGAAGGCCCTGAGGAGACCAAGAATGTGGTAAAGCAAGGACTAAGACCCATCACCCAGTTTGCCTCCTGCTTTCTCTGCAGGACCTTGTCTGGGGAACAGGGGGAAGGGATGCCAGAGTGATTCAGGGATCTGGCACTGCCAGCTTGGTAAACTATTTATTCTCAGACTCAGGCCCTGGAGCAAAATATTACCCTTGGCCCCTGAGCTGCTCCCCACTCTACCAGTCCATGGTCGGATCTGGAGAAATCTGAACCTTTCCTATTATAGCCCCTTGCCCTGGGAGGACCAGCAGCAGTTTAATTCCCTCATTTTACAGATACTCAGACCGAGGCCTAAGTCTCCCCAGTGCCCACAAGATATGTCTACCCTGCTCACCAGGCATTCAAGGCCTTTCACTGATGGGACCACTTTCATCATCTCCATTTTCTGCTCTATCCACAGCCCTCTCTCTTCCTTTTCCACTTACAAACCTCCCAGTTTTACTCACACAGTGACTCTGTCACAATTGCCCCTCCATGATTTCCCCCCTCTTCTCTGTGGGGTGGATTTCTCTGCACCTTTCCTCAAGGATCAGTTTGTATATCACCTCCTCTGAGAAGTCTTCCAGGATTTCCCCCAACCTAGAAGCAGTAAGGTGAAGAATAGGGGCTTTGGCACAAGACAGGGTTCCACTCAAGTTTAAATGCCATTACCAGTCCAAGGTGACTTTACCTCCATGAGCTTCAATTTCCTCCTCTATAGAATCTGGGTGATACTTGTCTTGCACAGTGGTCACCTTGCAGACACCCTGTGTCTGGCTCAGTAAATGCCAAGACCCTCCTTTCAGGATGTTCATTCCTTCTAAGGCAGCGGTTGCAAGCTTCACCAGCTTCACTAGCTGCCCTTTGATCTTTGTTTTACCACCACTATCCTGCCCTGCCCTGCCCCTTGCAGGGAGGAGGGGAAAGAAGCTGGATGAGGCCCCCAGACTGTGTCAGGGCAGGGCAGGGCAGGACCATACATTTTTTCTGTATAGCCAGAACTCTTTGGTTAGGTGTGCCACACTTTCAGCAGGAACTCAGAGACTCACCTGTGTCGTTCCTCCCAGACTTGGAGGTGGAGAGAAGGAAGCTAGCAGGAAGCCGGCAACCACCATTGGGGCAGGCTCTGAGAATCCCAGCTAGCTTCGGTGTACCCCACCCCACCAGGCTGTGCCAAGGGGAGCTGCGAGATTTGAAGTAGCCTTGAGCTCACCTTGGAGGACACTGAGTCTTCTGTAGAATAAGATCGCAGTTAGGTCATAAATGAGACCTACTCAGGGGAAAGGGACATTAAACTACATCCTCCAAACTGGGCTCTGTATACTCCTCCTACCATGTGACCTTAGCAAGTCGGTTCCCTCTCTACCTCTTGCGTTTCCCATGTGTAAAATAGAACTACTTGGGGGGGAAAAGCAGATGTGACATAAGATGACACATAGAAAAGTCTCAAAGTGGATAATGGCAGTCTCCCTAGATAGGGATGGGTAAGTCACAGAGGATCTGCACTCAGGGCCATTTCAGCACAGGCTGAAACCTTCCCCACAACTCCGTATCATAATTGTTAAAAGCACAGAATTTGGACCTTGGGCCCAAACGGTGCTGGTAGGAATCGCAGTTGTACTATTGTCCTCATCTGTAAAATGGGACAATAATCTAAAGGCTCAAATGGGGTTAGATGAGGGGTTATATGCTTGGTACGTGGCAAGTACAAAATAAATGAGTTATTAATATTGTTATTTTTTCGACGGGGCTCCATCTTCCAGCCTCCCAGGTGCCACACTGCCTTTGGTCTGCGAGACCTGTGGGCGGCGCCACTAGGGAGTGACGTTACAAAGTGGCTCTCTCTGGGACTCCCTTTTACCCCATTTCTTGACTGGGAATCTGGACTCCATCCCAGAGGCTAACCCCAGGGGCTTGGAAGGGAGAAACATGCATGATAGATGGGGGTAACATCTGTGAAAAAGTCTGTCAGCTGGGAAAGGACTGTTGTTTCATCTTGCTCCCTCTCAGTTGGTCCCTGAAATACTTCAACATAGGGTCAAGGTGCTGACGGCCACTCAGTCCCAGCTTTGAGGTGGGCGGGACCAGCTGTCTCAAAAGCAACTTGGGGGCCTGCGGTGGCCAAACCTGGGTCCGGACACCAGGAGGGGGCGGAGTCGAGGGAGGGGACGCAGTCCCACGAACAAAGAGGCAAGCAGAGAGAGCTGTCCTGAGGCCCCTGGGACGATGCCGGGCCTCATACCCCAGGTCAAGGATCGCTCCCCGACTCTGATGCAAAGCTGCGTGCCGCTGCCGACGCCCACCCGCCCAGCCAAGGCCGCGGCCGCAGACAGCGGCCCCAAGCCCACAACCCCTACAAGCCATTCTCGCTGGGGGCGGGGCCTACCCTAGGGGCGTGGCCGTCAAATTGAATTCCCCCAATGGGGCAAGGCGATGGGCGGGACCACCCCAACGATTGGCTGGAGGGGCAGCAAGGGCGGAGCCGGAGGAGTTGCAGGCGCCGCTGGACGGGCGGTGCTTGCAGAACCCCGAGAACGGTTGCAGAGCGGGCCTGGATTCCAGGTCGCGGCGCCTTCCGCCTGCCTGAGCCTGGTCCATCTGTCGGATTCTGAGCGAGCTAACCCGAGCCCGCGCCGGACGGGCGGGCCGGACACAGAGGTGGGTGTGCGCGTCCCCGGCAGCACCAAGACCCCCAACCGGTCTGGACTAGAACCCCGATTTTTGGATAGGGGTTCTGGGACTCCCTACTTATCCACGCAGGCTCTAAGCCATGGGGTAAATTGCTGAAACTGCAGGATGGACGCTCATGGACCTCCAGGGGGCTCCATGACCCCCAGGAGGCAGACATTTGGGGAAGCTCCACATCCCCCTGAGGCCTCTCAGGGGGACCCCAAACTGTGTGGCAGAGACAGGGGACTGAAGGGGATAGCAGTAGGAATCGCTGAGAAGAAGGAGACTTCTGGCAGCCCCCTGGGCATCCTGGACTAAGCATTAGGTACCCCTAGAAGGCATGGGGGAAATTAGAGGCACCAGAACCTAAAGTCGGCGACCCTGAGCGACTCCGGGACTTATTCCAAAGTAAGTAGGAAAGAGGCAAGAACCCCAACAGACAGGTTAGGAGGCTGACACGCTTCTGAGCCTACCCCATGGGGAAAGCAAGCAGCAACTTGAACAGGTAGAGTAGGAAGAACCCCAACTGTGTGGATTAGGATCCCCCCAGATCCATTTACCGCATAGGGTGACTCAACCAGTGACTCTTCTGGGGAGGGGGAAGAGATGACTGAGGGATGAGTTGGGGACTAGGGGAAGCACCGCACCATTTCAGTCATATATTAAGCACCTATGGATTGTCAGGCTGTGGCCCTCAAATTCCAGAAGACATTAGCGTGGCAGGAGGAAAGAAAGAGCTACACTGGGAGACTGGGCCAGGATTTAGGGGTCCATTACGGGGTAAGAGGGAGTGTCCTGACTCCTAGGATACTGAGGGCTTCGGAGGTGGAAGTGGCCAAGATTTTTATTAAATTCCTCCCTACCTGCTGTGTCTTTGGGATCTCCTCCCTCTGACATATCCCTTGCCCTCTCCAATGTTCGAATTTGCCTAAATCCAGATGTTGGATGGTCAGTTTCTGAAGGACCTTCCAGCTGGGGAACTGAATTCTGATTATGAATTGACAGGAGTTGCTGGGTGCCTGGACCTCTTGCTTCACCAGGTCAAGACAGCTTAAGGAGGAAAACAGAAAGGGGAGGTGTGGAGAGGGGTGTGTTGAGAGGGCTGTCTCCAAGAATTGGAAGAGAAGTGTTACTTCCAATAGTTTCAGCTACCTGGGAAATGAGAGTGGCAGTGGCAGCAAGGACTTGGACAGGGGCTCAGTCCATAGCCAGAGGCTTTCAAAGTGGGTGGGGGCTTGAACCAGCTCTGGGGATGGGTGGGTGGGGCAGGAAACTGTAGAGTCTGGCAGGCACCCCCTGGTGGTGAGCACAGCTTGGGTGGGCCTTGCTGAGGCCTGGCTTCTCAGTTCAGATCCCTTCCCTCTCTGCTTTATGCTTAGGATGAGGGCCCAGCCTAGGCCACACAGCAGGCTGGCAGTTGAGTTGGCTGGGTTGGGACCAGGGACTCCTATTCTTGGTTTGGTGAGTTTTCCAGCATACCACACCAGGGCAGAAGGCAACTTCCAACTAGGAGCCACATCATAGGTGGCAAGGATGGGACAGCGGTATATGATCATAGATTAGAAAGGGAAACTGAGGCATGACTGAGCAGGTTTCTAGAGGCCCCACAGGCCTGATTCATGTCTGTTCCTTGCAGAACCCCCTGAGCTGGTGTCAGGTGCCACTGGTACTGGGGATCTCACCACGAGGGGACAGATGGAGCTAGGGGCCGGCAAGATGGTGGACGAGGCCTTAGCTGGGCTGGATGAGGGAGCTCTGCGGAAGCTGGTAAGTGATCCTATCATCCCCACTACGGGGGACAGGCAAGTCATGTAGGAGAGAGGCAGAGCCTGTCCAGGCTCTCTCTCAGCTGACAAGAGGAGGTCATGGGGGCAGGGGGCAAGAAGAAGAACAGGGGAACAGGAGCAGGCTGGTTCTGCATGACTGATATAGAGGCCCCCATGGCATGTGCCTGTGTATGCCAGGTGCTGAGACCTGGTCCCTCCCAGCCCCCCACTGCCACCACCTGTTTAAACAGTAACTGCTGAGGACTCGCCCATGTGCAGTCACAGGTGTGGGGAGACTGGAATTGCCTCTCCCAAGCAACCGCCTGGGGAGTGCCCTGGAAGCTGGTCCAATGGGAACAGTAACAGCAATTACTGAAATTGCCAGGGCCCAGCAAAGGGCCTTCTGGGTACTTAGTACACCATCTCACAGAATGGTGACAGAGTTCTGAGAGCCAGGACGAAACTGTGGCTTAAAGAGGTGAAACGACCTGTCCCAGGACACCCAGCTAGAAAGAGGATGTGACAGGATCCAAACAAACCCTATGAGGGACCAAGTGTCCTGGGTAAATCAAGGTCAAAAAAGCCTATAGAGGAGGACTTAGGGGCCCTTCTGTGACTTCTACGCTCATTTTCCCACTCTGAGCCTCAGCTTCTTTACCTATAAAATGGGAGGGGGGATTGTGTAAACATATTCTCTAGATCCTCGAGTTGGCAAGGGGATGAAATCAAGGCACATGGGCCTTGATCTTGAGTTAGAATGGGGTCACTATACCCCTTCCCTAGCTTCTTAAATGCCCTATTTAACACCCCCACTCCACATACAAACACACACACACTGGCACAGAGAGGCCGGGGGGTAGCACCAGGGCAGACATGTGCCCAGCAGCAAGGACAGGAGCACTTGAGCCCGAGGAGCTAGAGCCCCACCTCCCAGTCCCTGACCCTTGTCCAAGGGGAAAATTAAAGATTTACCTCGGACTCCCCTCCTATCCCCCACTCCTTTGGAGGTTGGGGCTGGACCCAGCCAGCCTAGCCTGGCCACTACCGTGACCTACACCGGGCACTCGGCCTGTATCCTCAGGCCAGCTCTTGGACTCTGGGTGTCTTGCCATCACCGCAGCCGGCTGTGTGCTGCCTGGAGGGAACGGGTTTGGGCTTCCCAAGGTTGCCACCTTGTCAGCGCGACTTCCTTTCAGGAAATCCGAATCCTAACAGGGGTCTCCGGGAGAGGCAGAGCATTCCAGAGAAACAGCCGGGTCTTCAAGCGACCCTGTCACCTGGGGATCGCTCTGAGTCTCAGGGCTCTCCATCCGTCAGCCCCTAAGGGCACCATGCGGGGTTGGCACGCGGTAAAGGGGTTTCGAGCAAGGGGAGGGAAGGCTGGAGCGACGATCCCCGCCCCCCACTCTGGGAAAGGACCGACGAGACCCCGCCCCTCAAGTCTGCGAGCCGGGCCGCCCCAGGTCTTCTCCCTCCCGGGCTGGCTCCTCACTGCGCGACGCCCGCCGCTCCTGCGTCCCCGCGAGGGTCCCGCCCCACGCGCCGGCCGGGCCCCGCCGGCCTCGTGGCAGGAACGGGGGCGTCCCGGAGCGGGCTCCTCCCCGCAGGGCCGCGCCTTTTAAGGAAAAGCTGGCCCGCGCCCCGACGTCGGGCCGATTCGGGGCCTGGGCAGCCGCTTCCGGCCTCGGCTCCCTCACATTCCTGCGGCCGGGGCGGGGGGCCGCGCGGCGGGGGCACCTGGGGACGGGCGCGCCGCGCGCCCCTGCGCCGCGCCCCGGGCTTGGCGCGCGGGCGCCGACTCTCCCCGGGGCAGCGACCTGGGGAAGCTGCGCGCCTCCTGTGAGCCTCGGTTTCCTCTCCTCGGCCGGGGGCATGGAAGCCGGCAGCAGCCGGGGCCTTCCTGTCTGGCTCCCCCTCCCGCCGGGCTGCGCGGGGGGCGAGGGGGCGGGCCCGAGCGGGGGCCGGTTCCAGAGCCTGAGGGCCCGCGGCGCCCCCTGGCGAGACTTCGCTCCGGCGCGGGCGGGTGCCCCACTTGGGACTGGGTGACCGCCTGGAAAGTGTCCCCCACCGTGCTGATGGGGAGACCCAGGCCCGGAGACACCACCCCAGCAGCGAAGGCAGAAAGTACCGGGAGGCCTGACCCCCCGGGAGGAGGAAGCGCCTTCTTTCCTCCCGGGAGAATTTCACTGGGCAACTCCAGAACCCGCCCCATCCCTTTCCCCTTTCCCTGGGTGGACAATGGCGCTTTGTACTTCCCTCCCTGCCTCCCTCGGCCCTCCTCACACGCAGTGGGGAGCCCTGAGAGGGCGGGGAAGCAGGATGCACAGCAGGGACACTGTGAGCCAAGTCTGCCCCCAGGCCCAAAGGGAAGGGTCATGGGGGAGGGTGACCCGTGGAATGAGGTGATCGGTTCCTCAGCCCTGCCCCACCCACTCAGGGGCAATCAGACAGAGGCTCCCACTTTCCATTTGGGGACACTGAGGGTTGCAGAGGTGGCCAAGCTCCCACATCAGGCTTTTCCTGGGACAAAGACCCCATGTCTGGAGCCCAGGGCAGGGGGAAGGCGGACCCAGGAGACAAAGGACTAGTCAGTGCATCTCTGAGCCTCTTTACCCTCTGCACTGGAGGGCTGCGCTGCACCAACTATGCCGAGGCCCCCAGTCTCCACGTGTAGTACAGAGAAAGGCCAGGACAGCAGACTGGGGAGGTAAGCCATTCTCCCTCCTTCTGCCATACTGAGTTCCCAAGGTATCTCCAATCCAGATTAGAGGGGTGCCCAACGCAGTGCCAAGGTCCTCAAGGTACACACTGTGGTAGACAGACCCCAGTAACAGAGCTATCCTCAGCCCGGGGGTGGGGAGGGTGCAGAATCAGAAAGACCTGGGTTCAAACCATAGTGCAGGTCATTTGACCCTGAGCAGGTCTCTTCTCCCCAAACCTCAGTTTCTTCATCTGTCAAATGGGAGTAATCACTAAAGTGCCTAGGGTTTCTGGGGGGCTAGGGTTAGGTCAAGCAGTGGGGTTTCTTAAACATAAGCTTCTCAATAAATGTTCCTGATGCCTCTTGTATCTGGTCCTCATTTGCCTTTGCCTCTCCCTGCTCTTGAGTGGCTGGAACTGAGCCTGGAATGTGAGGCTTACAGCAGCCCCAGCTGTGTGGAGGGAGGGACCCCCAAGCCCTGCCCCCATCCCCACCCATTGCCCTGATGGGAGCCAGTGTTCCCTCTGGCAAATGAGAAAATCAAGACACAGAAAGGTTAAAGGACACGCTCCTGACCACCCAGCCAGAGTTGTACTCGAATGAGACTGGAGCCAGGTGGGGGGTCTGGCTTGAGCCTCAGGGAACCCCACCCCCTCCATAGCTCCTCAGGAATGAGGAACCTGAAGGGACCCTGGAGTCCTCCAGGACTCTCCCTGTTCTCTTCAGACTGGAACAAGTGAAGTCCCAGATGAGCTGGGCCAGCCCACATTCCCTGTGAAAACCTATCCCCCCACACACCCAGCTTCCCCCATGGAGCAGGCGGAAGGAGTTTAAAAAGGGGGTAGAGAATTCTTGGGTCCTGCCCCCGAATGATTTGGAGGGGCGGGGGCAGAAGAAATCACTGTACCTATACTTGCCCTCATCTGACTCCGTGTCACACTGCAGGATTATTTCTGCTATTATTTCTGCCTTCCTGGGGGGCCCTGGGCCAATCTTCTCTTCCTTGAGCCAGAGGCTCTGTGGGGGGTGGAGGTATGAATTGGCTGACTGCTTAGTGAAGGTGCCCTTTCCTGGACCTGCTTATACCAGCCACCCCCAGTTCCCAGGGACTAGGGGGCTAAGAATCTGGTAAGAGCACCTGTTCCCCAAGAACATTCTCTCTAAGGTTTTGGGTGGCCCCTATCTGCTGCCTTATCTGTCTGGGGGATGGGCCCTTCCACTTGGACCCCTTGCATGGTGTCTAGGACTGGGCCAGCACATGGGGAAAAAATAGTCCCCAGCCAAGCAAGGGGCTGGGACTTCTGAGCTCCTGGCCCTACCTCAGTTTCCCCATCTTTCCAATGTGGAAACCCTTCAGCAGGGCTGTGGGGCTTTGGGACTAGAGCATGGGAGTCTCCCTTGCTCAACAGGGAGCACAAACTGTTTGAATCACCTTCCTTCCCCAGAGACACTGTTAGGGACCCAGAGGGTGGGTCCTCCTCCTCCTCCTGCTTTGTGTCCCTGGCTCTTGGGGGTTTGATGCAAAACTCTGAGGGGTAGGAGTAGAGTTGCAGGAAGGAGTGCCACCTGGCACAGGTGGGCATTTGCTAGCTGCACACTCTGTGAACCATTGTGCAGAGTGGGCTGATCGGGAGCCTGGGCTCTATGAGCTGGGTCTCCCCGGAGGTCCTGGGTGGGCGGGCAGGCAGGGGACGGGCTTGAGATGGGGGGAATATAGACAGATCACTCATTGTGCCCCAGGCAGAGCCGTGGGCAGCCAGTGCCCGCCCTCCACCCTGGCAGCCAAAATGACCAGCTCCTCGCTCCTGCTCGCCCTGTAGTTGGAGGTCACAGCGGATCTGGCGGAGCGGCGGCGCATACGCTCGGCCATCCGAGAATTGCAGCGGCAGGAGCTGGAGCGTGAGGAGGAGGCCCTGGCATCCAAGCGCTTCCGTGCTGAGCGGCAGGACAACAAGGAGAACTGGCTGCAGTGAGTGGCAGGGGTTGGACATGCAGGTGGGGGGTGTATTGCCAGGGCTCAGCTTGTGTGTGTAGGCAGGCGAGAGCACAGGAATGTGTGCTACCTACCAGGGCACACAGTGCTGCCATTTGGGATACACACACATATCTATGGGCATGGACCACATGCCCATCACGCCCACACGGACAGCATATCCCAGCATGTGCTATCGGTGGTTACATCCCCGGGCGTGTATGTGCCAGCGTGTAAACGGAGGGTATGCAGAGCCACTTGAATCTCTGCTACAGTTTTGGGTTCCCTGTCCTGGTCCCTACCCTCAGTCCACATCCTTCATGACCAGGCCATGGCAGTGGGGGTTACAGTCATGATGTCCCTGCAGCTCTCAGAAGCGGGAGGCCGAGCAACGGGCTGCTCTGGCACGGCTGGCAGGGCGGCTGGAGTCCATGAGTGATGTGGAGGAGCTGACCGTGCTGGTGAGGATCGGGCGATGTCAGGGCGGGCGGGAACAGGGCAGAGGATTTGGACATCAAAGCCCAACATCTGGTCCTCCCACAGCTGCGAAGTGCCGGTGAATACGAGGAACGCAAGCTGATCCGGGCTGCCATCCGCCGCGTGCGGGCCCAGGAGATTGAGGGTATGTGTCCTGCCCTTGACCACCCGCTGCCCTGTTGCATGCTTCCCACAGCACCTCCCAGCCACTCTTCTGGTGTGTTCCTTCCCTTCCAGCTGCCACCTTGGCTGGGAGATTGTGCAGTGGTCGTCCCAACAGTGACTCAAGCGAAAACAGCAAGGGACTGGCAGCCCACAGGCTGGAACAGTGTGAGGTAAGCGGTGCGAGCATGCTGGGAGCAGGGTCAGGGTCCTGTGCCCACAGATACCAGCAGCACGGAGCACCTGCATGTCTTTGCAAGACTGGTATTCCACTGAGAGGGGACCCCAGCTTGTTTGTGGGTTCTTCTATCTCAGGCCTCTGACTTCTCTCCCAGGCAACCCCTGGCCACATGTTCCCCAACTCCAGACTTTGTCTCTACCCAGGCCTTCCCCTCAAAGCCAGCCTATCTCCACTGCTCCTAAATGCCCCCATACCACCCTCATTGCTGTCTGGGTCATCTTCACACTTAACTTCTGCCACCACTCTGGCTCTCCGGCCTCTACTCAGCAGGCAAAGGGCTCTCCTTGAAATGCAGATCTGACCCTGGTACCTCAGCAGCTTAAACCCATCCCAAGGCTACCCCCCTCACGCCCCCCCAGGCATCCACATCCTTACCTTGGCTAACCAGGGCCTGTATATCAGAGCCTGCTGACTGGTGGAGTACTGTTCACAGATTCGGCTTTGTTTCCAGAAATGTGGGTGAGAAGTCAGGCTGTGTGGGTTCTCTCAGTAGCCAGCAGAGGTTACTGGGTCCCTGGTCCTGGCAGGACTCCCCTGCTATTCCCGATTAATCAGGCTAAGGCCAGGGGACAGGTCAGGGACCTTGGCGCCGATGGTCTATGAAGGCTGGGAGTCCCCAGCAGATCTCCTGCCATCCCCAACCCCTGGCATTAGATCTGGTCCTCTCTGAACTGCCCTTGACTAGGCAGTACAAGAGGCTGGAAAGTGAGGATCAGAGACCACTCAAGGCTGGCCAGTGCCGGTGCCCTTGCTCATGCAGGTGTGCCCCTAAGAAGCTATGCCCAACCCCTCTGCTTTGCATGCCCTGCCCCAGGCACCTGCCAGTCTGGGTAGCTTTGGTCGCACACATCCTGTGGTTCCCTTTCAGGTGCCAGAGCGAGAACAGAAGCAGCAGGTAGAGGTCCCGGAGCCAACCCCAAGCCCTGAGGGCACCAACCAGGATGTGACCACGGTGACGCTCCTACTGCGGGCTGCACCTGGGGGCACACCCAGGTCACCTACCTCACCCAACAGTTCGCCCACCACTGCCTCTCCTGAGCCTCCACTGGAGCCTACTGAGGCCCAGTGCCCTGCTGACAAGGCTGTAGGCACCTCTGAGCCACCACCCACCCTGTCCAGGGCCACCAGCCCTGAAACCCAGGAGCTGCCAGCACCCCCCTGCACTGAGGGACAGGTGGTCAACAAGGTGAGTCTGGATGAGGGCTAGGGGCGCGAGGCAGGTGAGCTCTTTGGTCTGCAAGTCAGATCCTGCCCATGCCCTGTCTCCCTTGCAGCTCCAGCCTGGTCCCACGGAGCCTGCAGCTGCCGAAGATTCCACCAGAAGTGCCTCCAACACAAAGCGAACAGGTGAGGGTCCCAGGGGGCGGCATCGGCCTTCCCCATCCCCAGCCTTCCTTTCCCTGCCTAGAAAATGGGCTTTTGTGCCTAACAGCTCCAGCCTCCTCAGGTCCAAGCTGTCTCTGACACTCCTCCCACTGCCCCTGAGGTGTCCCGCCTCCGGCCTGGCCCGCCCCCCCACCCATGGCCAGAGGCCTCCCCGCAGCCTTGAAAGGCAACGGGCCTCAGGCACATTCTTTTCCCCAATAAGGGAGTTTGCCCATCTCCCAGCTGGAGCCAGGGGCAGTGCTGGTCAAGGAGGGAGGGGGGTGTCCCTCACCTGCCCCCCATCAGCAGGGAGGATCTGGGCACCCTTCCTCAGCCCCAGCCCCCAAGAGTGTCCAGGTCATTCTGGGGTTAATTCGGGGAGGAAAGGAGAGTCCTGCAAGAAAGATGCAACTAAGGGGGGAGACCAGGAGGCTGGAGAGGTTGGGATACAGGGAGGGCTTGGGAGGCTAAAAGGACTATGAGAGGTGACTCCTCCATATCTACTCTCTTCTCTTCCCCCACATGGCTACTACTGCCTCCCCATACTGTCAGACATGGCAGGACCCCGTCCCTGCCAACGCTCCCTGTCTGTGCTCAGATCCCGCCAGCCAGTCCAGAACCAAGGTATGGTCTGTTCCCACTCCCCCAGGTTCTGGGCAGTCCACTCTGACCCACCCAGCTACTGACAGCTCTCCTGTCCCTTCTAGAGCCTACCCCCCTTGCTGGCGGACTCTCGCCATTCCAGCGGGCTGGCTCTGTGCGTGACCGCGTACGCAAGTTCACATCTGACTCTCCTGTGGCTGTTGCACGCCAGGACGGCTCATCCCGGGCAGAATTAGGTCCCTCGACCCCCGCAAGGCTCCCAGGCCCTTCCCTCATCAGCACCACCCCTGCCTCCTCCTCCAACAACTCCTCACAGGACCCTGGTGCTACCTCCTCCCAGTTCAGTAAGAAGCCAGAAACAGCCCGTCCCCTGGCCCAGCTTCAGAGCTGCCCCCAGGGGGAGGGCCCCCGGGGGCGGGGCTTGGCTGCCAGGCCCCTTGAAAACGGAGCAGGGGGGCCCGTGGCCTGTACAGAGGAGCCCAGTGCCTCACTGCCTGTCGGCACTGCCGAGCCAGGGGGCAGTATGAAGACCACATTCACCATCGAGATCAAGGATGGCCGAGGCCAGGCCTCCACGGGCCGGGTGCTGCTTCCCGCAGGCAACCAGAGGGCAGGTAGGCCTCCCCACTACCTCCCCATTGTTGGGTGAGCACCTGCAGCCACCGGTTCTGTACATAGCTCAGATGCTGTGGCCACGGCACAGGGTATTTCTAAAGGGTACACTGGGAGCAAGGGATGCTAGCAAACTTAATTGGCACTGCCCTCACCCCACCTGATCCTAACAGCAGTTCTGTCCACCTCCAGAACTGACACTACGGGCACCTCCTACCCTCCTCAGCACCAGCAGCGGGGGCAAGAGCACCATCACCCATATCAGCAGCCCAGGGACCCTGTCCCGGGTGGGCAATGTTACTCAAGTTACCAGCTTCAGCCATGCCTCCCCTGGTAACCGGAGAGGCTACAGCATTAAGGTAAGTCCCTCCACCAGCCTTATCCATCCATTAACCTTATATAGAATGCTTCAGGGAATAGGGATATCAGCGTTCCTCTGCGCCACTCCTTCCCCACTGTACAAAAGGGAAAACTGAGGTCCAGAGAGAGAAGGCGGCTGCCCAGTGCCACAGCCAACTAGGGTATCAGCCATCAGACACAGCAGAGGCTTACTCTGTTCTTAAGCTTCCCACATGCTGATCTCTGATACTTACCCCAGGATGGTGGGTTGATTCCTAATGAACAGCTGAGAAAACTGAGGCTCAGAGAGGGTGTTCTCCCTCTTCCTGTGGCAGGACCACTGCCCCAGTTGCTATCCCACAGTGAACCTCAGCCCCAAGGTGCAGAGCTGCTCATCTGCTCAGCCAAGATCCAAGGTCCATTAGCAGATTGGGGATTAGCGATTAGCATCTGCGTCAGCATCTCTGGGGGACTGGGGAGAAGCACTGATGGGGGGGTATCAGTCAAGTGGCAGCCTAAGGTAGCAGCCTAGCAGGTGTCACAGGAATGAAATACTCTGCACCCTTCCATTATTAATTCCCAAGCCCAGGATCGGCTGGCTGAGAGCTCAGCTGGGGAAGGGATCCCCACCGGGCCACCTGTCTGCCTAGGTAATGCCCTCTGTGCTGCACCTGGGACTGAATAGGACCTTGGTGGAGGTGAGATGGCTAGAGCCGGCTTTGTACCTTCTCCGGGGTAACAGGGAGAGGGCAGGGACAAGAAAGCAGCCAGCCACTGACTCAGTGCTGTAGTCTCCACCCGCAGCTCTTCAGCTGCCGGGCCACTGGCTCCACAGAGGAGGCAGCCGCTCCGCTGCCCTTCCCCCCACAGAGCAGGTTCTAACTGCTCTCTGCCGAGGGAGTGAGGGGGGTGTAGCTGAGACCTTTGGGTGGGTGAGAGGGTGCTGCAGTGTGCCCCGGGTCTGATACCACCAACTCGCCTCAGTTTCCCCATCTAGAGCCAAGGGGAAGCAGATAATGTACCTCTAATATACTTGCTCAGTCTGGATCTGAGCACCACAGGCAGACCTAAGGACATTTATCTCAGGGACAAGACACTTGTTACAGCAGATTGCTCCAAGTCCTGCTTCCCTGTGCCTCCACTTACCCATCTGCATAAAGATTTTCTAAAACAGCATGGCATGATGACAAAGAAGCACAGGCTCTGGAGTCTGGCAGACTGAATCCTCACAGCTAAGGCACATGGCAGCCCAGACAAGCTCATTCCTTGCTCCCTACCTCAGTAATCCTTCAGAACCCCTGCAGCCTTGCCATGCTTTGGGTCTGTGATCTCTGCAGGGCTAAGGCTAGGCCTGTTGGATGGCCTGTTTGGGCAGGCCACCCCTCCCCCTCCCCCCCGCCACGGGGAGCCCAGAATAGGTTTCTATTTGGGCAGCAGCCCCAGCTGGCTGGTGGCAGGCTGAGAGGCCAGCAGGGGCGGGGCAGGCCCACTGCCCTTGCTTTCGCCCTCAGCTGCAAAGACTGACACTGCCAGCTAGAAGCAGCAGCCCCTACCACTGTCCCCGTCACCCGGCCATAGAACACCCACCAGAATCATGCCGGGGGTGCCAGGGCCAGGTTCTGAGCTAGCTGTAGCTCTTGAGGAGCAACTGGGTCGGGCAATGGAGGAGCTGCGGGCAGTGGCTGAGGCAGGCCGGGCGGCAGTGACCCAGGCAGCTGAGGCGGCTGCCTCCGCGGTGGAGCCAGTGGCCCGAGCAGCTGAAGAGCTGAGGGTGGAGACCACAGCACTGAGCCGGCGGCTGGATGCACTCGGCAGGCAGGTGGAGGTGCTGAGCCTTCATCTGGGGGTCCCACTTGTGCCTGACCTTGAGCCTGAGCTGGAGCCCAGTGAGCTGCTCCTGGCCGCTGCTGACCCTGAGACCCTCTTTCAAGCGGCTGAGGATGCAGGGACCCCTGTGGCCCACCCACCTGCCTTTAGCACCCGCCGCCACTCCTCTGCCGGCCCTGTCCGCAGCAGCAGTCTCGTAAGTCCCGATGGGCCGGGGGAAGGGAATGGCTTTGAGCTAGGTTCTGCCTCTGCTGAGTGACCTTAGGTGTGCCAGCACCTTCTCTGAGTCTCACTTTACCTATCTGTATGGGGGACTGAGCTGTATGCTCCAAAACCAAAGCAAGAGGGTGCCAGGCTCCTGGCCCGCTGGTGTGTGTGGCGGCTACCCTGGCAGCCTCTGACCTAGTCCCCACCCCCACCTCCATCCCCAGCCTCAGCCAGGCCCAACCTCTCTGAAACAGCTGCTACCTCAGCTTTCCTTACTCTTACAGCAGGCTGAGAGGCCCTGCCAGAAGGGATGGGGCTCTGATATTTGGGCAAGGGGCTTGTCTGAAAGAGGCTGGGGAGACACCCTGGGAGTGGGAAAGGCGGGGGCTAGTTTGGAGCTGCAGGGGCCTTACAGGGTGGTTCTCAGTGGGGGGTCAGGGAGTGGGGGGCAAGCTTCAGGGAAGACTTGGCTTGGGGCAGACACCTGACTGCCCTCTGCCAAGGGAGTGAGGGCTCTGGTCCAACCTCATTGCGGGGGTGCTGCCTGGGCACTGGCCCTGGAGGACCCAGGCCTTGGGAACTGGCAGGAACAGAGCACAGCCTACCTGGGGCTGAGAAGGGAGCAGCAAAAAGAACTCGGGTTCAATATTAGGCTACCTTCAGCTCAGAACCCCGGATTACTTCACACTTACAGGATGTGGCAAGTCATACAGCTTCGGAGCCTCACTTTTCCTTTCTGTTAAATGGGGACAGTAAAATGCCTAGTCTCTACAAATGCTTACTGCTGAATGGAAAGCACCATTATTGCCACGCTTGTGTCAACACAATTCTGGGTTCATGGGAAGCCCTACAACAAGGCTGGCAGTACCTCTTCGCTGAGCCTGACACTACCATGGCTGTCCGTGGACAGGCAGTCTGGATGGCTTGTGGTTATTTCAGGGCCTGGTCTCCTGCCCAGTGGGGGCATGGTCCAGCTTCATCTACACCCCTGAGAGAAGCCCATGTTCTCTCTCATCATCCTGCAGATGGAGCCAGAGCCAGCAGAGCCTTCTGCAGCAGTGGAAGTGGCCCATGACGCCAAGCAAACCCAGGTGAACAAAGCACCAGAGAGGCGGAGCCCACTGAGTACAGAGGAGTTGATGGCCATTGAGGACGAGAGCGTCCTGGACAAGATGGTATGGCCGGATCTGGTGCAAACTAGAGGTTGGCGGGAGTGAGGGCCAGCAGGCACCAGGTAACCAATGAGAGGGGCTCTCTCTGCAGCTGGATCAGGCTACAGATTTTGAGGAGCGGAAGCTCATCCGGACAGCACTCCGTGAGCTCCGACAGAGGAAGAGAGGTAGAGAGCCAGCTGCCCCATCCTAGATGCAGTTGCCCCATTCCCCAGCTACTCCTCTCATTCTAGGGTTCATTCTTAGACACTCCAGCTCAACAACCATCCTGCCTAGCTTCTCCTTTTCTAGACTCAGTCATTCCCTTGCCGCCCTCCCCCTGGACCCGGCAGCTCCCATCCCTAGCTGCTTCTCTCTCCCTGACCACCCCACTTACTGTCCCCAACCAGCTTCTCTTCTCCTTCCTAGACCCAGTTACTCTCTTTCCCAGCTACTCCTTCTTGGATCCAATTGCTTCTTCAAGTACTGTCAACTACTCCTTCCCTGAATCCAGATTCGCCTTCTCTCAGATGCTTCTTTCTCCTGAGGTCCTTTAATGACCACCTGAGACTCCACCCCCACCCAGCTTCCCCTTCCCTGGGCACAGCTACTTCCTTCCCCAGATACATCCTCCCTGGACCCAGTGACTCTTTCTCTCAGATTCTAGATTCATTTGCTTCTCCAGATATTCAGTTGCTCCCTTTCTGAATCTAGCTGCTTCCTCCAAGGCCCACTGATGGCTCGCCAGGCTCGATCTCCACCACTTCTTTAGGCCCAATCACTCCCTTTGTCAGCTTGCCTCCCAGCTATTCCTTCCCTATATCAAATTGCTTCTCAAGTACCAATTACTCTCATGGGATTCTCTAGCTGTTCTCCCGCCTAAGGCCCATGTGAAAGCACACTCAGTACTGCCCTCGCCCAGCTTATCTATCCCAGGACCCTGGCACATCCTCCCTAGGTCTAAATATTCCCTCTGGACTCAACTTCTTACTCCCATAAAAACTCCCTTCTTAGATCCAATAATTCCCCTTTGAATTCCATATTCACTCCTTTCTGCCCAAATTCATCACCACCCACCACACACCCCCACTCCCTGCCAAGTTATGACCCCTCACCCCTAGCTACTCCTAGAGAGGGCCTTTTCCCCTGTGTCTTCAGTATTTCTTAACAAGTTGCCCTCACCCCCTTGTGTGCCCCGTGTGCCCGTGCATATGTGCTCTGTGGGTGATGGGTGGCCCTTCCCGGCATGCATGGGGCATCCCCTGCACAGACCAGAGGGACAAGGAGCGGGAACGGCGGCTACAAGAGGCACGGGCCCGGGCAGGGGAGAGCCGAGGCAACACAACCACCGAAACCACCACGCGGCACAGCCAGCGGGCATCCGATGGCTCATCTGTCAGCACTGTCACCAAGACCGAGCGGCTCGTCCAATCCAGTAAGGGGCCGTGCAGAGTTGGGGTGGGAATGCATCCACCGCACTGACTCCATGCCTCTCACACCTTTCCCCTCTCTTCCTGCCCCTCCAGGTGATGGCACACGGACGGCCCGGACCACCACGGTGGAGTCAAGTTTTGTGAGGCGCTCGGAGAGTAAGGCCGCCTGGTGTCGCCCTCTGCCTGCCTGCCTGGCCACCTCCTCAGGCTCTTCCTCGAACTCTCTCTCCATACTTTGATCTGTGTGTCTCTCTGTCCAGCTGTCACTTTTCTCCACCTGTGGCTACCACCATCGCCCCTGGCCCCATCTCCGGTGTCCAGCCTAGGCACTCACCTCTGAACTTCCTCTTTCTTGCAGATGGCGGTGGCAGCACCACAGTACAGACCAAGACTTTCTCCTCCTCTTCGTCCTCCTCCTCCAAGAAGATGGGCAGGTGAGACCCGACGCACCCCCAACCACAGAGGAGTCAGCTACTTCCTTCCCCAGACACATCCTCCCTGGACCCAGTGACTCTTTCCCTCACATTCTCCCCTCAGACTCTTGCCCACAAAGGACCTTACTGCACACCCATTTTACAGAATAGACTCAAGGAGGTGCTGGGAGGTGACAAGCATTGGAGGGCGGGGTTGCTTTTCGCTTAATCGTCAGCTACTCTAGGAGAGAGATGCAAGACTTGCTGCAGGTTTAATGCTCTGAGCGACCCTTAGAGAGGCCTACCCAGCACACCGAGCTGCCCCATGTGCTTTTGCAGTGTCTGCAGACCATGTTGCACCTTGCAGACCTGTGCCCTTGGCCTCTGGAAGGAAGGCAACACCTCCGTGTCACAGAGAATGTCTGGGCTGCTAGAAAACAGGCACAGGCTCAGAAGTCAGGCTGGGATCCAGCGGGTCCTGGGACTTGGAGACCTGTGTTCAAGTTCCTGCTCTGTCCTGTGAAATCTAAACCCAGAACCTCAGTTTCCTCATCTCAGTGGAAAGAATAAGGGCCCCACCCTCCTTGTGTGAAGCTTAAAACTGCACATGGGAAAGGCACAGAGCCATGCGTTGTGATTATACCATGATGATGAGGAGGCTCGAAGTCAGTTGATAGAGCTCCCAGTCTGAACTCACCTGTAATTTGATAATACACAAGCCTTCTCGGGAAACTTCAAGGGGTGAAGAGCTTGGCTTCCACCCTGTTCCAGCCTCAGTGTACTCCTCTGTAAAATGGGTGTGATGAGTTCCCTCCCTTGCAAGCCAGCCCTACAGGTTGTGGCGATACTACAGGGTGCAGGGTCAGGACACTGCAAAGCCCTTCCCTTGGAGAGTGGGGTGTGAGGGGTGTGGGCCTGCCCTTTCCCGCTGGTCTAAGTCACCTCCTTACCTCTCAGCATCTTTGACCGCGAGGATGAGGCCAGCCCTCGGCCCGGCAGCCTGGCGGCACTAGAGAAACGCCAAGCAGAGAAAAAGAAAGAGCTGATGAAAGCACAGAGCCTGCCCAAGACCTCGGCGTCCCAGGCGCGCAAGGCCATGATTGAGAAGCTGGAGAAGGAAGGCGCAGCAGGGTGAGAGGCTGGGGACTGGGACCGGGAGGTGGGGGGGCTTAGTGACTTGGGGGCGGGGCCTGGGATGTGTGGGCGGGGCCAAGACTCAGTGGGCACCGTGGGAGCAATGATGGGAGGGCTCTGAGGGTCAGAACAGTGGGGCCTGGGGTCCTCTGCCTGGGCGGGCCAAGCCCTGCAGTCTTGTGACCTGGCTCCCGACTGCAGCCAGACCTCCTCTCATAGCTCCCCTCCCATCTCCCGCCTCTTGCAGCAGCCCTGGCGGTCCCCGCACAGCCGTGCAGCGCTCCACCAGCTTCGGAGTCCCCAACGCCAACAGCATCAAGCAGATGTTGCTGGACTGGTGCCGGGCCAAGACGCGTGGCTACGAGGTGAGCTCTATGAAGCCAGGCCGCCCAGCAGGCCCCCCAGAGCGCAGTTTGGCACCTCCCTCATGGCAGAAAGAATTCCTTCTCATCCCAGTACACTTCACAACCACCATGCCTCACTGGGAAGATGGGAAACTGGCTTCCTGAAGTCACATGCCTTGCCCTAGATTCCAGGATTAGTGATTAAGTGGCAAAGCCTAGTGGGAGTTCAGGGCCAGACCCCAGTCTCGGAGTCCCCTGCTCATTGCTCTGTGGACAGCACTGGGTAAATTTCTATAAGTAAGGGAAGGAGTGAAGGCAGCATGACCATGCCTAGGGTGGGTGGTGCTGGACTTCTTGGTCACTCTGTCCCCCTAAATAGGAGACAAGGAAGTTGACAAACTGACTTGTTCACCTGCTGTGCAGCCTTGAGCAGGCTACAGAGCCTGTACCCTAGGTCTGGGATCTCTAAATGCTGGGGTGGGGAGAGGGCACGCGGGATCTGACCAGTCCTCCCACCACCCCTAGCACGTGGACATCCAGAACTTCTCCTCAAGTTGGAGTGACGGGATGGCCTTCTGTGCCCTGGTTCACAACTTCTTCCCAGAGGCCTTCGACTATGGTCAGCTCAACCCACAGAACCGGCGCCAGAACTTCGAGGTGGCCTTTTCATCTGCTGAGTAAGTTTGGGCCCCAGCCCTGCTGGTGTCGGCTGGGCATCTGGGGCTGAGCTTCTGGGCCAGTCCAGATGCCCTGAGGACCCCTGGAGCTGTCAACCACAGTCAGACATCAGCTGAGACCCCCTTCCCCAGAAAGCCCCTGTCCTCTTCCACCCCACCCACCTGCTGCTGAGCGTGCCAGGTGCCGCCGGAACGAAGGAGCCGCAGGCCCGCCTACCAGCCCCAGTCAAGGCCCACCAGGTGGCCCTGTCCATATCCCCTCCATCCTCCCTCTGCCCCCTTCTCCCTCTCTCTCCCTTTCTCTGTCCTGCTCTCCTCCCACCATCACCAGAGCTTCCTGCTCCCACGGGATCCCGGCTGGAGATTCCAAAAGGAGGCTCCTGGCCCGGGCACCGTGCCCGCCCAGCCTATATAGGTGTTGCCAGAGGCTTATATAGGATATCAACAAGCCCTCCACTTTGGAATCGTTGCCCCGTCTGCTCACCTCACTCTCAGCACCCTCTTCCTTCTGTCTTCTCTCCCTTTCTCTTTCTGATCCCCTACTCCCCCCTCCCAGATTTCTTCCTCTTTCTCTCCCTCCACCTCCTCTCACGCCTCCCTCACCCCCCTCCCTGGGGCACAGCCCTCCTCTCCAACCTTGGCATCAGTGCCATTGCCCCCCACCCCGAGTTCCTGCTTGTCCCAAGAGTTCTCTGCACCTGTGACTGGTCTGGCCCCCCACCCCTGTCTGCATCGCACACCATTAGTGATGGGTAGTAAGCGGCACGTCCACAAAGGGGAGGGGGCATGCGGGGGGCTGGCAGACTGCGGCACTGAGAACGTAACTGAACTCATGTCTCTGTGTGTGTGTGTATGTGCGTTTCTCTCTGTTCTCCTCCCCTCTCTCTTCTCTGCCTCTCCCCCCTCTTCCCCACCCGGGCCCCACCACCCCGCCCCTTCCCGGCCCCCTACCCTCCCCAGGACCCATGCGGACTGCCCGCAGCTCCTGGACACAGAGGACATGGTGCGGCTTCGAGAGCCTGACTGGAAGTGCGTGTACACGTACATCCAGGAGTTCTACCGCTGTCTGGTCCAGAAGGGGCTGGTAAAAACCAAAAAGTCCTAACCCCTGCTCGGGGCCCCACGGTGAGAAATGCTGCCTTGCCCGCCTTCCCCCGTTATGCTGGAATCTGCTCAGTAGGGTGCAGAGAGAGACCTGGGAAGTGGGTGGGGGAGCAAGGGGACCATGAGAGGAACCAGAAGAGCCAAATATGACCCTGTTTCTGGTCGTTCAAGGCCTAGCAAGTGACACCTTTCTACTAAATGGCAGCAAAAACCCAGGTGAGCAGGTCTGAGAGGGAGGTAGCCCAGGAGACTGTGGGAACCCAGTGGAGTCAGCTGACCGGCCTGCAAGTCTGGGACAGCTGCCTGAAAAAAAGTGCAAACTAGGCTGGGATCTGACCAAGTTCAGGCCAACAGAAGAACAGGGAGTCCCAGGCAGAGGGGTCAGCCTAGGCACAGAGCCAAGGTTGAGTGAGATGGAGAGCACGACACACTCAGGAAGGGCAAGAAGTTTAGTCTAGGTGTGAGGAAAAGAAGGGGCTGCAGCCGAACTTCTACCTGAGGCAAGAGTCATGAAGGGCTTCCGGATGGAGAATGGATACATGTGGTCTGGTTAGCATTCTAGAATAATGCTGGAATTATTCCCTTCCCTTGGGTGAGGGAAGGGAAGGAAGGGATGTACTATAATAGATAGTCGGAGCAGCTTGAACAGGACAAGCTTCCTGATGGATCCAGCTTAGGTGGGGAGGAGGGCCCACAAAGCTGCTTGCCTCTAGTTTGTGCACTAGCAACTTGCAGTGCCAGGCTCCCTGTTGGGAAGCTCAGGACCAAGGGCCATTTAAACAGGTAGATGTTTCTGGTTGGGGACCTGATCCCCAAGCCAGCTGTGGCACTTCCTCTCTGATCCCCTACTTCCCCCTCCCAGACACCTTACCTCAAGGCCACAGAGCATCCCGATCCTGAGCTAACTGTCCATTCCAGACCAGGAGCTTGGAGAAGGAGAGAGGTGGCCTTAGAGTGCCCAGGGCAGGGATTGAGGATGAGGGCAGAGCAGGGGCCACACACTGGAACCCCCACTCTTCATTCAGTGGCTCTTCCTTACCCCATCACTTTTTCCTTACCCCATTTTGTAGAAAGAAAAAGGGATCTTTCTACAGAGGAGGGAGCTAGGAGATGGCCAGAAGTAATATGAATCAGGAGAGACCTTGGGGGGCATTTAGATGCCCTGGGGAGCCTGGAGCAATTGTGGGGGCCAGTCCATACATACATACATAAACTCAGAGAAGCCATGCAGGTGAGGGGAGGATGGGTTTGGTGCTGTCTCCAGGTCATATATGGACTTAGGAGCTGCTGCCCAGCAGGCCAGTCTGGAGGGAGAGGGGCCCAAGCCGGCCCTGATCCAATTGGAAAGTGTGACTCAGCCATCCTGATGCTCAAATTGCCGGGTGTTTGGCCTGTCACTGGGGTAGCTGGAGCCTAGAGCCCTGAGCCCCGGTCTAAACAATGGCTTTATAAGGTCTCCAGGGAAGACACCAGGAGTGGGAGGGAGCTTCAAATTGGGGGAGGGAGGCAGGAATCCCTGGGGAGACAGCCACAGCTGGAAGAAGCTGCAGAGAGAAACTGCTTCTCCACCATGGAGAAACACCCAGGGGAGGGGCAGGGACAACCCTAAGGTTCGGTAGCACATCAGCATTTGAGTCAGGAATCCCTCACTCATCTGAAGTGCTTCCAAGGTCTCATCAGAGGCTGAGAATAAACTGTTGCTATAATAATGGGGAAACTGAGTCACAGGGCAGGGCATTATAGATGCTTTTAGCATCCACATCTAGTCAGCAGTAAAACCTGGTCTGGAAGAGTCCTCCTACCTCCCAAGCTTATTCCCTCAAGGAGTCCAGGTGAGCTTGGAGTAGGTCCCAGCCCTCCCAAGGTCCTGGGGTTGACCTTGAAGGCACAATACAGGTAGTGCAGAACTCTTGGCTGCCTTGGGACCAAGTAATCCTGCCCTTAGGCCTTCCTGCCGAAGGAAACTCACTTAACACTGTGTGCTTACTGTACGCAGCACAGCAGGTGATAGGGTACAAGGCAGAAAAGGCCTTTCTTTGGGAGAGGAAGGGAAATGGGCCCAGGGGCTGTCAGTTGTTGGATAACTAGTCCACTGACTCCAGAGTAGGGAGGCGGCACCAATCAGGTGCCAACACCCATCCAGCCCTGCACTACTAAGCTGCGGCATTTGAAACAAATGACTGCTCTGTGACTCAGTTTCCCTCTCTGTAAAGTACAGCATGTACACAAGGATGGCCATGCCCCTGAGCATAATGTAGATGCTCTGATGTATTGGTTGGAGCCCTCCCCTGACTCCCCTGTTCTACTCAAGGGAGACAGTAAGGGTTAAAGAACTAACCTCCACACACATACACAGCCTCCCCACACCCCCTCAGCATTTCACACAGCAGGGCTGTCCCTTGGGGCAAGGATAGGGGTTCCTGGGCCTCTGCGTGAGGTGCCAAGCTAGCCAACTGGCAGATAATTCAGAGCCCAGAGGGCCCCTAGGGCAGGTCCTGGCTGCAGTGAAAATTTGCCAGTGGTCAGGCACCTTCAGATGCAGGGGCCCAACAGGCTTGTGTGGGCAGGAGGCCCACCTCCAGAGAGAAGGTGGGTCTGGAGCCAGGACCTCCCCAGGGCTAGAACTCTGCCTTCCTGGAAGGGGCCACAGTTCGCCTCCTCCCTTCCGGCCTGTCTGCACCTCCGCCTGTCGGGCCCTGCGCCCCACACAGGTGCCTCCAGGCTTGAGTGAGCAGGCCTGGGGTTTCCTGCCTTCCTGGAAGGCTTTTCCCCCTTTCAGCCGATAAAGAGCTTGTGGAAGACCAGCAGCCTACCAATGGAAAAGACCCCGGTACAGGGTCACCCTGAGGGGCAGGGCCAGCGCTGACCAGCACACCCGTGCCCCCTCCCTGCAGGATGCTGGTGGACTGCGTGCCCCTCGTGGAGGTGGAGGACATGATGATCATGGGCAAGAAGCCCGACCCCAAATGCGTCTTCACCTATGTGCAGTCGCTCTACAACCACCTGCGGCGCCATGAGCTGCGCCTGCGTGGCAAGAATGTCTAGCCTTCCGCCCCGCATGGCCAGCCCGCAGCAAGCTGCCCCCACCGTCCAGGCACGTTCCCTCTGCGCCTGCCCACCGCCGCCCTGTCTGTCGCGACACCTTCCCCCACATGCACACGCAGCGTTTTTGATAAATTATTGGTTTTCAACGATCCTGGCTCTGCCTCTCCTGGAGGGTTGCGTGGAGAGCAGTTCGACAAGGTGTGCCTCCTTCCCAGATCCATCAGCAGCGCAGCCAGGGATACTGGGCCTCCCCGGGGCATTGGGGGATTCCTATTCCCCACCCTCCCACAGCAAGGAAGGAGTCGAGTCTCAGTTAAGGAAGATTTAATGGAGGTAGGAAGGGGAGAAAGGAGTAAAGAGGAACCCCCAATTCATCCCTGCTGGCTTGGGGACGGGGTGTCGACCCTCAGCGAGGGAGATGCTCCCGGGACGCTGAGCGCTTCATTCGGTCCCCAAGGCTCAGGCGGGGGTGGGGGGGGGGTGCTGGGGGGGAGCGGTGGGTATCACGCTCCTGGGCCTACAAATCCGAGCGGTCAGGAGCGTCTCCCGCGGGCCGAGCGGGCGCCCGCTGGTACTCGGGGGGCACTGGCGCGTCGGGCGCCTCTTTGCGGTAAAAGCCGAGCTCCTGCACCAGCGCGTTGATCTCATCGCGGGTCATCTCGCTTAGTGGGATTCGCTGAAGGGAAAGGGGAGGGTAGTTAGCGCGCCAGCTCCCGCCTCGCGCCCGGTCGCCCCGCCTCCCCGCCCGCCCCCCAGGGCCTCACCTCCAGCTCCTCGTAGCGGTGGTCCAGCAGCACCAGTTCTGGGTCGGCGCCCGGGAGGTGTTTCATTACCAGGTTGTGGCTGGAGGTGGTGTTAAGGTGGGTAGCGGTGGACTGTGGAGGGTGGGGGCCCTTGGGGCCTGGCCGATGTGGACAGCACAGCCACATTTGCCCAGATGGGGCATGATCCCCATTTATGAGAGGAAATTAGGGTAAATAGTAAAGGCCCTCCTCTCCATTCCCGTGTCTGTGGCACTCACCGCTAGTCAGTTTCTCTTGCCCACCCAACTTAGAGACCACCTCAGTACTCTCTGGGCAGCCACTACCAGTCAACTCCATTCATCAGATGAAAACCATTTGTTATCTCTGTGAAGGTAAATGGGAGACTTCCCAGATTCCCTCCCCATCTCCCTTCCCCAGAACAGAAAAAGGATACTAGAAAGGGATGTCCTGGGTGACAAAGGCCTTCACCTGGGGAGGAACCAGGGCATCAGACCCCAGCCCTCAGCCCCTCCAGGGACCTGGAGAAACTGATGTCTGGGGAGGCCGCACAGCCAGGCAGGAGCAGACTCCAGACCCCCAGCGCTGGGACCCTCCTCCACCCAATCACTGGGCCCATGTTGCCCACCCCCCAAGAGCTGGGGACGCCTTCCTCAAACTCACCTCCTTCAGGCGATTCAGCTGTCATCCCCCACAGGTCTGGATGAGGACAAAATGGGTTAGGTCAGGAGTCCCTGGAATCTGCCCCAACCAAACCCTCGAGGTTATTTCACCAAGTTAGATCAGGATTTGAATGATCCCAAGGTTTGAAAGAGATGGAGGCCCTTTGTGAGCAGAAGGGGAACTGTTCGCAAGGGGCAACCAAGGCCTAGCGACACCAGAGGAAAAGAAAAGCAAGACCAGAGACTCAAAGGGCCATTACCAGCCTTGGGGTTCTTGCTGACACATCTTTACGTGTCTGCTCACTCCCATTGCCCAAGAGAAAGGATCACCCTACCCCTTTTAGGCAGTAGAGACCTGGGCCTGGCCTTTGACTTCTAGAATCACAGGAGGGAGATAGATCAGAAGCAAAAAGCTCCAAACTGCCATGGGGGTCCCCATAGGTGAAACATGCCATCTGGTCCTCACTCCACTCCACACAGAGGGGGCCCTCCCAGCCAACTGTGACCCAGCTCTAAAAACCATCTGATTGTGCGTGTGCGCATATGCGCGTGTGCATACAGACACACACACACACACAGGAGGTTGGGAGGGCCCCCTCCCTGCACTCCCTGTGGGGGACCACTTCCAAGCAGATGTCCAGACCCCACAACCACCGGTCCAATCCCCCCTCCTTCTGTGCTCCCTCCCCTTTGTCAGACACAAAACGAAGGCCTACAGGATGATCCAAGTCACACAGCACGACACTCTGGCCGGGAATTTCCTGGCAGGGGAGGGTGGGGGCTGCTGCGGAATAAGGACAGGTAATGCAGTTCCCAACCCCCTTCCCTGGCTCTTGCGGAGTGCAGGCCTGCGCCCCAAAGTCCTCCCTACCCTAAGCAAAGAGAGACCACAGGGAATTGGGTGGGAAAAGAATTCCAGGAAAAAGTGGAGTGATGGGGGGTGGGAAGCTGGGCTCCAGAGGGCAGGTTTGGGAACGTCATGAGCCTGTAGAAGAGCCAGGGGACCTGGCCACTGTTTCTGGGGGCGAGCGAGGGTTCTCTATCCGGCCGGATGGGGACTTGGGGAGAGGATTATATTTCCAGGCCGCAAAATCTGGTGCCTGCGGCATCCATGGAAGATGCTGGGGCGTTCTACAGCTGGGGAGCGGGAGCGATGGGGATTTGGAAATCGGCGGGGTTCTGGGGCCACGGCAAGGGGCCGTGCGCCCAGAGAGGGGGCCCCGCCGCACACTCACCTCTACCCGGGCTCGGGCCAGGCCGTGCAGACGGTTCCAGTCGGGCCGGAAGGTGGTGGCGGCAGCCGCGAGGGCCGCGAAAAACAGCCACAGGGGCCGCGGGGGCAGCGGGGGGACCATCAAGCCGCCGCAGACGCCCCGCAGGCGGGAGGCCAAGCGCCGGGCCGCTGCGCCACGTCTGGGCTCGCGGGCTGGCCCCGCCCCTCGGGCGACCACGCTCCCCGCTCTCGGTCCCCGCCCCGGAGCCCCTCGGCGGCCTCCGCAGGCTGCGGGCGGGGCGGGGCTCCCTGCTGGCCCTCGGTCCTGCGCATCCCCAGCCCCGAAAGCGGCCGCGCTCCCCCTGCCGGCCCAGAGCGAGGACGCTTCGGCTGCAGCCGGCCAGACAGTGCCGCCTCGCGCCGGCAGAGGGCGCCGGCGGACGCAAGCGGACTAGGGGGTTCTGGACCCGACAGCGCAGAATGGGGAAACTGGCACGTTGGGGAAGACTCGTTTGTGTTTTTTAGTTCCCAGGATGAAACTCTGATCAGGGCTTCAACTCTATGGGAAATACATTGGGCGCTAGGAATATTACATTCTCGGTAGGAGCTAAGAGAAAACGAGGTTTAGTGCACACGAAGCCCTTTAGGACAGTATGCACATAGTGTTAGCTTTATTTTTTTTTAAAGGGTTTTTTTTTTAAGATTTATTTATTTATGCATACAAGAACTGGGGTACAGGCTATAGATGCAGGGGGGGTGAAAGGATTCACCAGAGACAGTGGGGAACAGAACAGGCAGACTGACTGAAATACACTGCTGAGGGGAGCAGCGGGCGAGTCAGGAGAGGTCTGCTGCACCATGTGGGTTACTCCCTGACAGGCCAGGGATCGAACTCATGCTGAAGAGGCTGCGGATTGCTTCATAATGCGGTGCTTCACAGGTCAGAAAACAGAAAGACTCAGAAGGGTGAAAAGATTGAATTGCCACTCTGGGATTTGGAGCACACTTGTCTCTGTGCTTTCTCACTAGACCAAAGATGACTAGATAAGGGTGCTTCTTCCCCCTGCAAGCCTAAGGCAAGCACAGTAAATTGCCCGCAGTGCCCGTTGCCAGTGAAGCTAGTTGGGACTCAGTTCCTTCTCAACATCAAACCAGGGCTACATGATGTCTGCATGGATGTTAAACCTTTCAGATTGCCTGGGGCCCTTCTTCCAATAAAATAATAATAACAAATATAAAATAAATAAATATAATTAGATTTTATAACTACTTTGATTAAAAGATGATTCTAATCCAGGCTGGGTTCATTATTAGATAGTCATTATTTTTCACTTCTGAATTTAATTTTTTTTAGATGTGTTGAGACTTTTTTATTTTTGTATAGAAGAACTGCCAGTGGTGCAGGGGGTGAGAGAATTCACCAGAGACAGAGTCGGGAGCAGAACAGGGGGATCTACTGAAATACACTGCTGAGAGGAGCAGCAGGTGAAACAGGAGAGGTCTGTTATATGAACTGTAAGTGGGTTAGCTCCCTGGTCGGGGATCGAACTCAGGCCACAGTGGTGACAGCACTGAGACTTAACCGTTAGGCCACCAGGAGGCTCCTTGCTTCTAATTTTAAAAGAAATTAAAATTAAAACATTTTCATGGGCCCTAAACACTCAGCCTCATCGATGTCAGGTCTGTTCCCAGCCCTTTGCTTGGCCCTGCTACCTCCATTCACTGACTTTATTGCAAAGGTTTAATAGTAGTCTTAGAGCTGTTGTTTAATAGTCATTCTCTATAAATAAATGAGGACACTGTAAATACAATTGGTTCTGTCCAGACTATTGTGATAGGCTATGTCTACTTACTGCTGTGGAAATATGAATTCCTCCAAGCTTTGGGAAGGACAGTTTGACTCAAATTAATCAATAGAAAGGGGATCAATTTTTGGGTCAATATTGTTTATCAAAACACTGCTTATCATGGTGAAAAACTGGAGACACAACCTAAGCACATCACAGAAGGGGAATGATGGCACCTTAATAGGATAGAAAACCACACATTCGGGGGCCTCCCTGCTGGACTAGAATTTAAGTCTCAGCGCTATCACTGCTTTGGACTGAGTTCGATCCCCAGCCAAGGAGCTGACCAACATATGGCGCAGCAGACCACTCCTGTTTAGCCCGCTGCTCTCCTCAGCAGTGAATTTCAGTAGATCTGCCTATTCTGTTCCCCACTCTCACCCCCCACACCTCTAGCCTGTATCCAGTTCTTGTATGCATAAATAAGTCTTTAAAAAAAGACAAGGGGAATCTGTATCAACTCAACAAACAAAAATGTCTACTGGCAAGGGCGGGTTCTGGTAAGGTTTGATCTGGTTTACAAAGTCACCAAAACCTGGTCTCTCTCCATTCTGCTGATTTCATAGCATCAGCTTATCATGAGGCCAGCTGCCTGCGTGGTATGAGGTGGTTTTTAGCAGTAACCAGGGCCACAGACTTCCTCATTCACAGCTAATCAAGAAGTCATCTTTTTTTTTGGTGACCTCTTAGGAGAGAAAACAAACTTTCTTTCCCAAAACCCTCAGTAGAAGTCTTTTTATATCTCACAGTTCAGCCATGATGTAACTGGGAATTACTCATTGGGTTAACCAACTGGGACACATTCCTAAAGCCTGTCAAGAAGGATGTGGACTACAATGGACCTTGTAAAAGCAATAGATAGCCAATCAGTTTTATAAAATATGCATATATACAGTCCTGGACCAAAAAAACGAACTCTAGAAGGACACAACCCAAGAAATCAAAACGCTCATCTTAATGTAGATGACATTATGACATTATAGGTGAATTTTTTTCTCCTGCTATACTTTTTTTAATGTCTGTATCTTCTATAATAAACATATATTACCTAAACAGAAAGTAAACTTTGTTTGCAAAAATAGTGGTATACAAGCCACGGGTTCCCACTACCCCATCCCACATCCCAACAAGGGCCTCGGAGTGGCTGAAACCAGAGGCCTCATGGAGCCTGTGGTTTTTCTGCTAACAGAGCCAAACCTCAGGGCCCCCACAGGCCCACACTGTTCACTGGACAGACGCCATTGAAGCACTCTCATTGCATTAACCTGGACACTGTGGCCTACAGGGGCCACAGCCTGGGCTGCTGAGAGTTCACCACCCAGTTAGTGAAACCAATAGTAGGGACACAGCCATAACAGTACCGGAACATTCTAGCTTTAGCCGCCAAGGTAGGCCCAGGATCTCCCAGAACAGATCTCTGCTCATAATCCATACCATTACGTGACACTTGGTAATCTAGGCCAGCAGCCTTCCTTACGTAGAGCTGGATTTGGGGTTTAATCTTTGATGGGATAAGACAGACAAGGCCAGGGTCAGCCCTTAGCCCAAGGCCAACTTTAGAACTGTATCTGGGGCTGGTGCAGGGCTCAGTCAATGACTGAACTTAGACCTTGGACTGTGACCAGGACCAAGGTTCAATCTCTGAGTACGCTCAGGGCTCAGTCCTTGACCAGACTCAGTGCACAGTTAGGGTCAGAACTCAGTTTAAGGTCATTCAGTCCATTTTAGGCTCTGGGCTTAGTCTATGACCAAAATTAGGCTCAGAGCTTGGTCAGTTATCAGGTTTAGGGTTCAATAGATGACCAAACCTGGAGTCTGTCAGTCAGTCTAAAATCTAGGGTTAGTCTGGACCAGGATAATACTTCAGTCTGTGACTTGCTCCATCTTAGAATAGGAACAGGGCTCGACCTGGGTCCAAAATTGAGGTCTCGTGTTGGAATAAATCTTAGGCTTGGATCAGGACTTAGTATGTGACTAGAATCAGGACCCATGGTCAGAGTCTTGACATGGGATCAGGGGTCAGTTAACACCAAATAGGGATCAAGGCCATGACAAGGGCTTAGTTGGGCACTATGTTTTGTTCAGAACTCCCATAAAGAAGTTCCTGGAGACGTAGAAGACCAGGACAGGATGGCCTGCAAGAAATGGGAGCCCCCAAGCAAGCTTGGCAGCCCCAGTTCCCTTTGTAAGTGTCTCCTTGCCTGCAAAGCCGGATGTCCTAGAGCCTTCTAACCTACATGGCTCTGCTGCCTGAGATCCCCTCGCACCAGAATAAAAATAGCCACTCACTTCAGAGCAGCTGACAGAGAGTGCCTGGCTGCCTGGGAGGAGGGAGAGTGGAAGAGAGGAAAGAGGGATGTCTGAGCTCAGCCCCAGCTGTGTGACCTTGGGAAAGTCACCCCTCCTCCTTGAGCCCATTTCCTGAGGGCAGAATGGGAGGCTGAAGATGACACCTGCCCCCAAGGTAAGAACACAGTGCAAGTGATGTAACATGTGGCACTTGTTACCAAGAAGGAGCCCCAAAGGAAAGCCTGGGAAGATAAATGTTCCTCCTTGTCCTATATATTTTCTCCTCCAGGAAGTCTTCCCTAATGCTTCCTTCTTCCAGCTCACAATACCTGTGTCACACTTGACATCTTCAGACATTTCTCAGATAGTAGCCACAGCATGACCTCCCTCTCGGTGGGCCTGGACCAGGAAAGGAGAACAAACCCCTCGGACTGTCATCATTCAGGCCCCTGGGATGCAGGTAGAGGAAGAAGAGGAGAAAGTCTTCTTTCCCTTCCCTGCCTCCGGTGTCTTCATTCTGAGTCAAAGGGCCATGAGGCCACAATTCCAAATTTTGCTTCTTTTCATGCTGGAATCTTCTACATTCCTTTGCACCTGAAGCTTCCCCTGCTTCCCAGAGCATTTCTCCTTTTCATTGGGTAACCCAGAATCCCCTTCAGAGAAAAGGTTCACTGGTCACCTCTGTGAGGGAAAATTATCCCCTGCTCTGTCTCCTACTGCCTGCCACTATGTAATCCCTCAGTTTCTTCAAGCAAGGATCTATTTGTCAAATAGGATCTTGTTTCCACTTCACAGGCTTACTATGGAGTGTATCTGAGATGATCTACCAACCACCAGCTCCTTCTCCTATCTCTGACCCAAACAGCCTGAAGGGTAGCACTAAAAGTCTCCAGGAGGGGGCTAGACAAGCTGTACCCTCTGTCTCTGTACACCCCCATCCTCACCCCCTGGAGTGAGAGAAGGCAGAGAGCCAGGAGGGGCCTCCGGAGACAGCCTACAGCCGTCTCCAGGGGGGCGGTTCTCCCTGGCAGCTGCCCCCGGCCTGCCTGCGCCCTGCGCCTAGGAGCCTGTTATCAACCTCCTTAGTCATCACACCAGGAGCTCAAATATAGCTCTTACCCACTCCCTTCTCAGCCAGGGTCCGCCCTCCCACCCCCTTCCCCTGGCAAGGCCGTGTCTAGGTCTCAGAGCTTCTTTCCCTCCCCTCCCCCTCCACTGGGCCTCAGTTTCAGTATCCAGCAAATGGGTAGGTTGGAGTAGATGACAATTACGACGATGACATTGCTGACGACAGCTCTGGGGCAGCTGCCCTAACTGAGAGCTTACCCAAGTCTGCCTCTGTGCTAAACACCTCACGTAAGTTATCTTGCTGAATCCTCAGAGCAACCTTAGGAGGTATCTACTATTTTTTTTTTTAATCTCCCTTACACAAATCAGTGACCTCCCCAAGTAAGTCAGTGTCAGGGCCAGAAACAAAGTCACCTGCAAGTTCTGAGCTCAAGGAGGAGAAAAGACGGGACATCTGCTGGGTAAAGGAGCCCTCTGCACACTCATTTGCATGACATTTGCCAGTGTCCAAAGGGCACTGATGCTCCTGTCCCAGCCCTGGATGGCTGAGCTCACCAGTTGTCTCACCAGGTAAATGTGAGCAAGTGCCCCTCCCAAATGGCAGCCAATGAATAATGGAGAGAGAAAAGTTGAGAGGAGCTGATCTGAGATGGGCCTGACTGTGGGGCCATCTGAGGGCAGGCAGCAAGGTGTCTGCAGAAGAGGAGAGGCCAGAGCTGAGGTTGGGATGGAAACCCCATCCAGGAGAGGAGAATAAGGTGTCTGTGCATGTAATTTCACAAAGGGGCCGTTGAGGATGCAGGGATGACTGAGGACCAACAGAGAGCTTGGAGCACAAAACTCAAAATTCCTGCTTAAAATGAAGGAGATTACTCCTCTCTAAGCAGTCTAGCAGTTTCTGGAAGAACTGAGATTTCAGATACTGCTTAGCAGCAAGTGAGAATGGGAAGAAGCAGATGCAAGGGGCCCAAGCCATCCCTGGCCAAAGCTAAACCTTGTCACTCTTCTCACTCGCTCTTTCATTCGCCAACACTGCCCTAGCTGGAGATCAGGCTCTTGTGCTGGGTTCTGGCCAAAGCAGCTCCCAGGTCTGTTGTTTTTTACCCTGCTGCCAATCTGTTGCCCCACCCCTGGGTCCTTCTTCACCATAGTTCCCATCCTCAGATACCCTAAGTGGCTCCTGCAGGTCTCGGGTCACTAAGGGAGCTCTTTTGTTTCACTGAGGCTCAGGAGATCTCACCAGGTAACTTTGAGCAGAGCCCCTCCCAAACGATAGCCAGTGAGTACTGGGGAGAGAAAAGCTGAGAGGAGCTGACCCGAGATGGGCCTGGCTGTGGGGACATCTGAGGGCAGGCAGCAAGATGCCTGCAGAAGAGGAGAGGCCAGAGCTGAGGTTGAGATGGGAAAGGACTCCAGTGGCTGGAGCCTGAGTGTCTGTTTCTGAGATGAGAAGGGAGGGAGCGGGCACCAAAGCCTGTAAATGGGGCAAGGGTGGGGGCCATGGCAAGCCCTGAGTTGGCAGGGAGTCAGGATGGTCAAGGATCGGGGCAGGGACTCTGGTGTCTCTGAGGCCCTGAGGAAGATTCTGACCTCTGAGTTACCTGTCTCTACCTTACCCTCAGGTGTGACAGTGCCCCTACATTCAGCGTGGGCCAGCCAGCCTTATTAGTGGGAGGTGGGGGTAGACAGCTTTCTCCATGCTGCTAGTTGGGATGTGGGCCAGGCCAGTGGACATACTATCCCACCCTGCCATGGCTGTTCCAGCCCCAGCAGCCAGCCTGCAGGGTTCCTGGGACTACCACCTTGCCCTGGCCACCTCTAGGCTGGGAAGTGGGTGCCTATGCCTTTAAATTCGCAGCAGGTTGAATCTGCTGATGACATCACTGGTTCCCGGGAGCGGAGGAGCTTCAGCCTAAGCCGGAGGGAGCCCGGGCTGCCGGGCTGCAGACATGGAGGGCCAGACCAGCAGTGGCAGCAGGAGGCCAGGGACCCAGGCAGGCCTGGGCCTCTTGCCTGGACCTCATGGAGTTTCCCAAACTGGAGGATCCCCCAAGGTAAGACCCCTAAAACCTAACCCCCTATCCCTGTCCCCGCTCCCCCCCATACACACACACTGCAGGCACCCTGGTGCCCCTTACTGAGGGGCTGGTACTCTCGCTGACCATCAAGTAGGGACTGAGTGAACAGGGGGCCCTGGAGACTGAGGGGGCAGTGACGGGACACCCAGAGAGAGATGGAGTCAGCCATCTCCCCGAGCCCTTGAAAGAACCCTGGACAAGGTGTCAGGGGACCCAACTGTGCTCCAGCTTTGCTGTGTGACCTTGGGCAAGTTGCTTGTAATCTCCGAACCAATGCAAAATGAGGAGACTTGTTCCTGAAGACTAAAAGTGTGACATCTGGGATGTCTAAGTTGTTGGTGCTGGAGGCGGTGTGGTGGTTGGCAGGGGGATGCAGAGTGGGACACTTGCAACCAAGGAGAATGTCCAAAATGCAGCTTCAAAAGCTGAGTTTGGAGAGGGAGGTGGGAGCAGAGTTTCAGGTTCTCTGAACTGAGAAGGACACGAATGCAGACAAAACTTCGCTTCTGGAGGCAGGATGGGGCTACCGGAGGGCCAGCACAGACGTTCTTTTGCCCTCCCTTATAAAGGACACTTACTCCTGTCTTCTGGAGACAGGGGACATCAGAAACTGGGGATGGATGGGAAAGGGAGAGGATGTTCCTGCACCCCCTACTCCAATTGCTGGGCCAAAAAGGGGATCCCTGCTTGTCCTCACAGGTGGGGGATAGGGTGGAAAGCATAGAAGGGCACCACGGCACAGAGTTGTGACCCCAGGATCCAGAGAATCCTGGACTTGCTCTGAATGTCAGACTCACACTTGCTGAGAGGATGGACCATTCCACAGGGACTTGAAAAGAATCCTAGTAAAGGTTGAGCTTGTAAATGCAGACCTTGGGAGGGACCAAGACTTCCCAGAATGTGGTGTGTCCAGGGGACTTTTCCCAGGTTCCCTTGTTTTATTGATAGGGAAACAGAGACCCTGGGCTGAGAGGTGCTTGCTTAGGGTCACCCTGAACTAGGCTTTGAATTGACATGGCCAGTCTCAGCCCCCGGAGGACAGACAGGGCTGTGACCAAGAATTTGGGACCTTTACTGGGGGTGGAACCTGAGGGTTCTGGAATACTATAAAGGAAAGGAGCAATATTAATGGGCTGCACCCAGGATATCCACAGTGGGTCGATCTGGGGTGCCAGGTCATTTGCCCTTGGCCGGGGGAGCACCAGAGACTGAAGGGAGGGTTGCCCAAAGAAGCTGGTTCCAGGTACCTAACAACAGGGTCAGAGGTAGGTACCAGATGAAAAGACAAAGAGAGCCCCTGGGTTCAGGTTCAGACGCTGCCACATTTGAGTTAGGGCCTTAGTTTCCCCATCTGTAAGAGGTGTCAGATTTGAGGGGAGGTATAGTGTTCTGTGTCCTCTTTCCTCCAAGAGAGAAGCCAACTCACCGCAAAATGGATTGAGGTGAGAAATTAGGAAGGACTCTCTTGGAAAGGTGTGCCTTCATGGTAGGCGGACTCTGCTGGGGGGGGGGTACATGGAAATCGGGGTCCCAACCCCCTGGTTAGGGTTAGCCTGAGTCTTTGATTTGTCCTCTGCAAGGTGGACTCAAGTTTTCACCTCCCGGTGAAGGAGAATGCAGGCCCGGTATCCTCGGAACCAAGGTTGGTTCTGGCACCTGCGGGGCCGCAAACAACTATGCCACCTTCCTCAGAAGCACCAAAGCTGGTTCTGGCATCTCCCCGGCCCATCCTGGTTCCACTGTCTACCCCTGGAGGGCAGAAAAAAGTTCCTGCCCACAGCAGCTCCAGCCTGGCTCCAACATCCCTCGGCCAATTGGTGATGTCGGCCTCAGCTGGGCCAAAGCTTCCTCCAGTGACCTCAGGCTCAGTCCTGGCTCCCACATCCCTGGGGCAACTGGTGATGTCTGCTTCAGCTGGGCCGAGGCCTCCCCCAGTGACCCTGGGGCCCAGGCTGGCTCCATCATCCAGGGACCAGAAGCAGGTGCCACCTGCCTCCGTGGGACCCAAGCCAGCATTGGCTGCTTCAGGCCTGAGCCTGGCCCTGACATCTGAGGAGCAGCCTCCACAGCCCCCCTCCATCTCTTCCCCAGTGCCCAGTCCTGTTCTGTCGCCTTCTCAAGATCAGACCCTGGCTCCACCATCCATGACATCAGCCCCAACTTCTGTGCGATGTACACCAGCTAAACAGAGGGATGCCCTAACCCCTAGACTCCCCCCTCCTTCTGAAAGTCATCTCCAGCCTCTGGCTCAGGCATCTAGTCCTGTGGGCGCCCCATCCTTGATCCAAACGTCCCCAGACCCCCGGATCTCCCCCTCCTTCAGAGCCAGGCCTGAGGTCCCCCGTAGCAGCCCTGAGGATTCTGTCCTCCCCCGGCCACCCCAGACCCTGCCCCTGGATGTGAGCCAGGGCACTCCGGAACCTGGCATCCGCTCCCCTGGACTTCTGTCCCCCACTTTCCGGCCAGGGGGCCCCTCAAACCAGACTGTGCCCCCACCTCTACCCAAGCCTCCACGGTCTCCAAGCCGCTCCCCAAGTCGCTCCCCCAACCGGTCCCCCTGTGTTCCTTCAACTCCTGAGATGACCCATCTCAGGCCGGGCACCCAGAGTGCTGGGCCTGGTGGGCGCCTGAGCCCCAGCCTTCAGCCTCCTGAAGCCCCAGCCCCAGTCACCACCTCCTCCTCTACATCCACCTCGTCATCCTCTTCTTGGTCAGCTCAGTCTACCTGCAAGAATGACCCCGGCTTCTGGTGAGGGGGCCCTCTCCCAAGACAGATTATTGAGGCATCATCTCCGAAACTAGCCATTCTTCCAAGGGAGCACACCTTACCCTGCCCAATTACCTCCCCAGGGAAGAGCCCTTGGGCACCCTCAGAAGACAGTGTCCCTTCCTAAGGGACTTGCCCACCTCTGCCTCAATTGACCTCCCTAGGAAAAGTGTGGTAGGAGGAATACGGAGCCCACGGTGGGTCCTTCTGAGGGCTTACCCCCTCCCCTGCCTCAGCTCATTTCCCCAGAAATTCCACGCTGTGGGAGGGAGGTTGGGCATCAAGGAGAGGTGCTAAAGAACCCTTCTATGCCCCTGCCCCAGGATCACTGTGGTCACGTGGAACGTGGGCACCGCCATGCCCCCGGACGATGTCACATCCCTCCTCCACCTGGGCTGCAGCAGCGATGACTCTGATGGGGCAGACATGATCGCCATAGGGTGAGGGGGCAGGGCGCGTGGCCTCCCTCCCGAGCCCCTCTGTGCCTCCCATCCCAGCCTCTCGCCCCTGGGAGGGGTGTCTCCTGTGCCCGCCACACCGAGGGCCGCCTCCCCCCTCCTCCCCCAGGTTGCAGGAAGTGAACTCCATGATCAACAAGCGGCTCAAGGACGCGCTCTTTACGGACCAGTGGAGCGAGCTCTTCATGGACGCGCTGGCGCCCTTCAACTTTGTGCTGGTAACGTCTTCCGCAGTCTCCGGACAGTCGGAGACCCCTGGGTTCCTGGCCCTGGCTCTGCCTGGACCCACTGTGGGACCCGCCGGACCATGAAGTGGGAGCGTGGAGAGGCGGACCTTAAGGCGAGGGCGGGGGGGCTGCGGAGCTCTGTCCTGTCCCTCAGGCGCTTGGCCTCCCGCGCAGGTGAGCACCGTGCGGATGCAGGGCGTCATCCTGCTGCTGTTCGCCAAGTACTACCACCTGCCCTTCCTGAGGGACGTGCAGACAGACTGCACCCGCACTGGCCTGGGCGGCTACTGGGTGAGCGCGGGCTGTCCAGGGCAAGGCAGGTCCCTCAGGGGGCTGCCGGTTAGACCCCCGGCTTGCCAAGCACGGCAAGGAACCCCCCCCCCCAACGCTCCATCCCATACTATGAAGCTTGCAGCTCCCCCACCCCACCCCGTTTTCCAGACCCTACCCGCTTCCTGCTCCCCCGCCCCAATCCAGGTGTTCCGCACCTGTCGCTAGAAACCTCCTCCTCCGGGCCCCCTCCGGCCGGTCCCGCCCCTCTCCACGCCCGCCCAGGTTCTCACCTCCCGGCGGGGGCGCGGCGGTGACCCGCCCCATCCCGCCTCTCAAGGGCAACAAAGGTGGCGTGAGCGTGCGGCTGGCGGCCTTCGGGCACATGCTCTGCTTCCTGAACTGCCACCTGCCGGCGCACATGGACAAGGCGGAGCAGCGCAAGGACAACTTCCAGACCATCCTCAGCCTCCAGCAGTTCCAGGGGCCGGGGGCTCACGGCATCCTGGACCACGAGTACGGGCAGGGGCGGGGCCGAGCAGAGGCCGGCGGGGCTGGCGAAGGGAGGACGCGCCTCCGAGGCCCCGCAAACTTGCGCGGGAACCTAAGCGGGCCGGGGTGGGTCTTGGGGAGAAGAGGCGCGGCCGGTGGCGGCTGAGGGCTTGGGGGGGTCTGTGACCTCCAGACTGCATCTGGCAAACTAGGAATCGAGTGCGAATGCCGCTGTTTGAAGGGGGTGGGGGGAGTGGTGGGCAGGTGCTGAGCCCACACGGGAGCTTTGCCGAGGGGCAGGGCCTTGCTGAGCGTCCCAACCCAACTTTCCCCTAGATTCGCACCCCTGCGGCTCCTCGGTGGGCGGGAGGCTCTGCAGCCGCCCACCCGCTGCATTATCCCTTGGGCAGAGACGCTTTCGTGTTGGATGGGGCTGGGGATGAGCTCTTCCATCTCACAGCCCCTTTTGACCCTCACCCCTGCACAGCCTCGTGTTCTGGTTTGGGGACCTGAATTTCCGTATTGAGAGCTATGATCTGCACTTTGTCAAGTTTGCCATCGACAGCAACCAGCTCCAGCAGCTCTGGGAGAAGGACCAGGTGTGGAATCCCAGCCCACACCCCCAACCCCGAAGTGCACAGAGCATACCCCGGGACACACCTGTACCTTAGGCTTGGTCCCTGCCCTCACCTGCCTTGCGCAAGCTACTGTCCAATTCTGCCCTTCTGGACCCTCACAGCTCAACATGGCCAAGACCACCTGGCCCATCCTAAAGGGCTTCCAGGAGGGGCCCCTCAACTTTGCGCCCACCTTCAAGTTTGATGTGGGTACTAACAAATATGACACCAGGTGAGCTCAGCACTGCAATGAGGTGGGGGTGTGGGTTGAGACCTGGATAAGGGGCACAGGGAAGAGGGGCAGGAGACAGGCTAGGGGCTAGGCCTTGAACCCCAGCCCCTGACACCAGGGCTGCTCCTGCCCACTGCAGTGCCAAGAAGCGGAAGCCTGCCTGGACAGACCGTATCCTGTGGAAGGTCAAGGCTCCAGGTGGGGGTCCAAGCCCCTCAGGACGGGAGAGCCACCGGCTCCAGGTGACCCAGCATAGCTACCGCAGCCACATGGAGTACACAGTCAGTGACCACAAGCCAGTGGCCGCCCAGTTTGTCCTGCGGGTGAGTTCTGGCCTCATCCTCTTGTAGCATCCCCCACCCTAGCTCAGCATCCCTGTGCCCACCAGTACCCCCTCACACCTGTTGTCAACAGCATCTACTTGTTGTAGCAGAGTAGGAGTGGGGTTATGATCCCCATTTTCACTTGAGGAAACTTAGGTTCAGAGACAAAGCATCACTTGCCCAGGGTCATTATGGCTAAGCACAGGATTTGAACCCAGGCTGGTCTGATTTCCAAGTCCATGCCTTTTCCACTAATCTCTAACTTCCTACTGCCAAGAAAGCTTTAGGGCAACTTTCGTTAAAATTCACACATATCGTAAGATTAGCAAAGTCAAAATGTTTATTCAACCCTTATGTAGCGTTCATTCCTATCCATACATGATTTATCATCTTACCATGTGTCGTCCAGCACTGTAAGAGTTAAGGTAGTGATGGGGAGGGGGAGTAGGCATATAAAACATACAAAGCTCAAGTCTAAATAATTAATTTAGCATATTTAGGATTGAGGTCCTTAGTTGCCTAAGTAAAATGGGGAAATTCTAGAACGTTAAAACTGGAATTGAGAGAGCATGTAGTCCAGTTCTTGGTTTTTCTGTAGGGAAACTGAGGCTTCTGTGGGTTCGACACATGCCATGGTATACTGGCTGTGTTAGAATGGGGTAGATTCCATCTTTCCATCCCTGAAACCCAACTCAGGGCTCTCCGGTTCTCTTGATCTGATAAGGCAAGCCCTGCAGATCAGAGATTGTTTTCCCTGGGAACTTTGTCACGTGGTCAGTTATGGGAGATTGGCCAATATCCTCAGCTGGGAATAGAAATCTGCTCATTTCTGGTCTCCTGTGACCTTTAGCAGAAGGCTTAGTTGTGGGGTTAAATCCTCCACCAGGACCCTCACCTCACTTCTTTTGGGTACCCCACCCTGACCTCCCCTCCTTGTTCTCACTCTCTGTCTCTTACACAACATCACCTGTGGAGGACCTATTATATGCCAGGCCCTGTTTAGCACACTTAACGTATGTCATTACTTTGAATGTCTTTGTAGACCCTGAGGTGTCCAGATTCTTTTCCCAGTTTTACTGGTGAAGGAAACTAGAGTCCGGAGAACTTAAATCTCTGACCAAGGCAACACAGCAGAAGGGGACTGAGTGGGCATTTTATCCCACAAGGTCTTCTAGGGCATTTCTCAGAGGCCCTACCCCCTCATCACCTGGCCAAAACTGCTGTTAGGAACCTAAGGACAGAGAGATGATGTGCTGGTTTCTTCTGAAGCAGCCTGGCTTGGAAGCTGCAGATGGAGGGAAACCTGAAACCAGATAAACAGGGAAGCAGACAAAAGACTGAGGCTGGCACCACCTGAGTCCCTCCCCGAGGGAAAGAGATAGTCAATACCCTGGCCACCTGCCACCCCAGCAACCCCAAGCACATGTGTGACCACTTGATTGACCTAGAGGGACCCTGGGGAGAGGCTACCCATGGTTATAATTTGTCTTGAAAACAAATTATGACAAGATCATAGTTAATGGATCCTTAGGACAAGTGGGGAAACTGAGTCTTGGGATGACTAGGAGCTTATTTGAGGTCATGCAGCAAGTTAGTGGAGGTAACTGAAGTCTCTGGCCTTCTGCCAAAGACTCCTCTTGCCTGCTCAGGGATGTTCAGCTTACCCCCATATTACCCAGTATACCATGTCTCTCTTGCTATAGGCAAATCATTCACTGGTTACCGACTATGTACTGGAAAGTATATGGGATGCTTTACAAATAGTAGCTCATTGAATCTGCAGAACAATCCCAAAAGTTAAATAAGATTCTAAGTTTGGGGCCTCCCTGCTGGCACAAGAGGTTAAGTCTCAGCACTATGAAGCAATCTGCAGCCACTGCAGCGCAAGTTCGATTCGCCCAGGGAGGTGGCCCACATAGGGCACAGCAGACCTCTCCTGTCTTGCCCACGGCTCCCCTCAGCAGTGTATTTCAGGAGATCTGCCTGTTCTGCTCCCCACTCTGTCTCTGGTGAATCCTCTCACCCCCACCCCCACCTCTGGCCTACACCCCAGCTCTTGTATGCATAAATAAATAAAATAAATCTTAAAAAAAAATAAGATTCCAAGTTTACAGACAAGAGCCCTGGCATTCAGAGAGGTCAGGAAATTCACTTGGCATCAAACAACCTGTCGGTGGCAGAGCCAGCCAGGGTGAAACCCCCAGTCAGCTAGCTTCAAAGCTGCGTTCTCACACCCTAAGAATGGTCTGGGCAGAAGGAGCCCAAGCTGCCTGGTGTTTACTCTAGAGCTGATCTGCCACAGTTTCCCAGTCTGTACAGTGGTTTCAAATGCCCTTCGTTCCAACCAATTTGTGCTTACTCAAGCCCAAGGGCCTTGGGTGCACAGACTGTTAAGAGCTTCTCTTTCATGTGGCCCCTGCCTCTGCAGTTTGCCTTCAGGGATGATGTGCCGCTGGTCCGGCTGGAAGTGGCAGACGAGTGGGTGCGGCCGGAGCAGGCTGTGGTGAGGTACCGCATGGAAACAGTGTTTGCCCGCAGCTCCTGGGACTGGATCGGCTTGTACCGGGTAAGAAGGGCAGGAGTGCTCAGAGACCCAGGGGAGGAAGGTCCTGAAGGAGCCGGGGGTCCTCAGGAATATCACTGACTTCTCCAGACTTTGATACCATGCTGGGAGGCTCCTGGGGGCATGTGAGAGGGGTCACAAACTTGATTCTTCTCACCCCAGGTGGGTTTCCGCCACTGTAAGGATTACGTGGCTTACGTCTGGGCCAAACATGAAGATGTGGATGGAAACATCTATCAGGTAGTTAAAGGGCTGGGGAAAGTGGGAGGAGGTCTCCTTCACCCTTAGGGGCTCAGAACTTGGCTTGGGGATCCTGAGGCTGCCTTCCAGACCCCAACCTGGGCCTGTATCCCTGGACCCACCAGGTGACATTTAGTGAGGAGTCCTTGCCTAAGGGCCATGGAGACTTCATCCTAGGCTATTACAGCCACACCCACAGCATCCTCATCGGTGTCACCGAACCTTTCCAGGTAAGTAAGCCAGACTGTGGGGTAGGGCATACCAAAGGACCTGGTCCAAATTGCCACAGCTTCTACATGCTTCACTGTGACCTCGTGCGAGGAGCCTGACCTCCCTGGACTGCCACTGGGAAGGACTGGAGTGATTCCAAGAGCCCTCAGTGGTCAGGTGGGGAGCAGAGCACCCCAGTCACTAATCTTCCCCTCAGATCTCGCTGCCTACCTCGGAGGTAGCCAGCAGCAGCACCGACAGCTCGGGCGCCAGCTCGGAGGATGAGGATGACAGCACTCTGGAACTGCTTGCGCCCAAGTCCAGAAGCCCCAGTCCTGGCAAGTCCAAGCGGCACCGCAGCCGCAGCCCAGGCCTGGCCCGCTTCCCCAGCCTTGCCCTGCGGCCCTCTTCCCGAGAACGCCGTGGTACCAGCCGCAGCCCCTCACCCCAGAGCCGCCGCCTGCCCCGGGTAGCCCCTGACAGGGGCAATGATGGCAGCGGCCAGGGCAGTAGTGACGAGGGACCCTCTGGGCTGCCTGGCTACCAGGCCTTCCCACCATCTGTGCCTCGAAACCTGCGCTTGCTGCCTGCCTTGCGCCTAGAGACCGTAGACCCGGGTGGTGGCAGTTCCTGGGGATCTGATACGAAAGTCCCAACCCCTAACAGCCTGTCTCCCAGCCCCCAGGGCCAGTAGGGATTGGAGAAAGGGAACTTGGCACCCTGAGGGTGGGCGTGCAGGTGGGCCCAGGTGGCCCCCACTCTGTCCCATCTTCTGCAAACCTGCCTGCCTCCCTCCTGCTGCTGCTCCAGCTTCATCTGCACCTGCCACTCTGTCCTGACCAGGAGTGGACAACTGGGGTCCCCCAAGCTTGGTCCCGGCATCTTAACTGTGACAATCAGCAAAGTCCTGTCTGGGCCCCCATCTGGGATGGAGGGAGGGGCACTTCTGGAGGTCATCCATTAGGAATTAAATTCTTCAACCTCACTCCTGACTCTTTCTTGAATTGTTAGCAGTCTGGGGGTGGAGGTAGTCAGAAGAAAGGACTAGAAATACAAGAGGATGACAGATCTGACAATTACCAGTCACCAGCTATGTACATTTCACACACGATTTCCTTTAATCTGCACCCTGAATTATGGTGTTGAGTTCAATGCATTTTTAGACCCATTTCACAGGAAAGCAAACTGAGGCCTTAGAGAAGTTATGTGAGCCTTTCAAGATCAGACACCTGAGCACAGTTTGACTGTGCATTGGAGAGAGGGAACATTTACAGGTGCTAAGCGCTATATGTCTATTGGTTCGCTTAATTAGTGTGAGGTAGGTCCTGCTTACATTCCCCTTTTTCAGTGGAAACTAAGGCTCAGAGTCAGAAGGGGTAAGTAGAGGTCTCTTGCTCAAGAGCATGGGGAAGATTTGAGCAGAAAGAATGGACCAGGGTAGGTTAGCAATGGTATAGTAGTTGTTAAGAAAAGGGATACCCTAGGGAGGAAGGTGACTGAGATAATCCCTCTCTGGCAGTAGCCCCCCCCCCCATCACAGATTCGGGCAGAGGTACTTCTATGACACCCTTCATTCCCCACCTGCTACCCCAGGCGTCAGCAGGCGGGCACTGGGACTCCACTGGGCAGATCCTTGAGAAGTGTTAAGTTTGCAATATGAACATATGTGTGCCACCTCCTGGGGCTGCTGCAGTAACTTACCCTCACCCCATTCCCATCTGTACATGAAGTTCCCTGTCTAGGCCCAAGTCCAGGGCATCAGAATGTACCTCCTGAGTACCACATCCTCACACAGAGGGCTTATGTCACCAATCTAAGATCACCCAGCACAGCAGGAGCCGCTGTGCAGCATCTGGTTCTTGGCCAGCCCTACTCCAGACTCCTGCTGTCCATAAGAACCTGCACCATATTTGGGTTAACACATGGAGAGGAGGCTGAAATCCACAGGCCTGGCAAAGCCAGGGGTAAAGTCTAGTCTGGTGCCCAGGAAAGCTGAAACGGAGGTCACTGGTTCCGGGGTTTCTGATGCCCGTCAGATCTCTGGGCTGCCTGGGTCAGCTGCAGACATTGGTCAAAGAATGACAGGGGGGCTCTTGGGTGCTCTGAAGGCCATGACTCCTCTATGCCTGTTCTCTGGAGCTGGAGTTGCCTCTGCTGAAGGCGCCGTAAGTGCCGAGGTATCACCTTGATGGCCCTGGGGTCTCTGGAACAACTGTGGAGGGAAACGGTGGGGCAGGCATTCATGACTGACAAAGATTGCACCCTACTCTACAGACAGGAACTGGCCCAGGGAAGGGAAGGTCTGGGGCCAGGAAAAGATAGGTTACCTCTAGCAGGGGACAGAATAAACTTCAGTCTGCCACTAGCCGACTGCCGAAAGCTGGGCCAATCCGGGCCTCAGTTTTCCCACCCATGAAATAGGAAAGGTAACAAGGGGATGACTTGGAAAATCAGAATCCAAATGAGACAGTGAAAAAGAAGTAAGAGGTAAGCAAGCATTTTCATTATGTACCCAGCAGGCCTTAGGCTGTGGCATCTCACACCATTTCCTTAGTATCCAACGCCATTTACAGATAAGGAAATGGAGACATAACAGGCGACTTGACTTGCAAGGTCACACAGGAAGCAACTGACAGTCAAGATGCATCACAGCCAACTGCAGAGCTGAACCCAGGGTACCGGAGGGTAGGGGGATGGTGACAGTGGAGCCTAGAGTGCCCCTGACCCCTTCCACCACACCCCTCAACCCAGGCACACAAAGGGGTCATAGGCAACCCACCCCTTTGGAAGATCCCCCATCCCTTCTGGCTCTGCCTTTTACTTACCCTTTGTCCTCAGCACAGTCTAGTGGAGGGGCCAGTTTAAAGCAGGTCATCCCCAGCCGTGCCCAAAGCATGTTGGCGCCCGTGGGTGGGTGGTGGTGAATCAGGAAGCGTGCCAGACTGAGGGCAGAGGCGGATTTAAGTTGGTGCAAAGGTTTACCCGCCAGGTGCCCCTTCCCAGTGCCAGCAGCAGGCAGCCCACCACCTAGGGTCCACGTAGGTCTCACCGGCGTGTGCAGTTGCAGTGAAAGAGAGGCTCAGGGGCACTATTGAGCAGCTGGAACTTGGTGTCCCAGGGTCTGATCTGGTGCTCACACTGGTCGAGTTGGCGGAAGCTGCGGCAGGTCCAGTGGACACCTGGGGGCAGGTGTGGGCTGAAGGGAGATCCCGCCAACACCCACTGACATTCAGAGAAACATTGACACAAGTGCTCACACACACACACACACACACACACACACAGAGAGAGAGAGAGAGAGAGAGAGAGAGAGAGAGAGAGAGAGAGAGAGAGAGAGGGTAGTGTGGCCCTGGAGTATCTACAGTGGTCAGAAAGGTTTCTTAGAGACAGGGGCTGCTCAGCTGAAGCTGGGAGAGAGGAAGAGAAAGGAAGAGCGTCCAGGCAGAAGGAGTAGTGCATGCAAAGGTCCAGAAGTGGGAGAAAACAAACTGCTTTTGAGAAATAAAGATTGTGAAACTCGAGTTTCAACAGGGGAGCAGGGTCTGCAGGACCAGTGCCTGAGGGCTCCTGGGTGTTGAGACATCATCTGCTAATGGTGGGGCTCATCAGGGAGTGATATGGTCAAGCTTGTGGTTTCCAGAAATCCCTCTGGCGAGTGCATTATTTGATGGGAGAGGCTGGGAAACCCCAGGGAAGATGAAAGGAAGCAGGATACCCCCAACCCACATGCAGAGGCAGGGACCCTCTTCATATCAGGAACTACCAAGATTAGGTTTTGAGCTCACCCTGAGGTCTCAGGCCACCCTGTGGCCCCTGGAGGCCTGGAGGGGTGACCTCCAGCACAGCTGTGGGGGCTTTATCAGGTCTGGGAGAGGTCACAGGGGCCTGGAAGTCTGTGGTATTGGATCTGCTGGGGTACTTGGACCCTTTCTTCTGTGGTAGCCACTTCCAAAGGTGCTTCTTCCGTTGAGCCTTGGTGAGGGCTGGAGTCGTGGGGCTGGGAGTCAGGGGGATGACCCGGGAGCTCCAGGAGGCATTGTAGAGGGTCCTGGGCTGGAGGCGGGCGAAGGGTATGGAGCCATATGTTCTACACCTGAGAGGTGGCAGTTGTGGCAATTGGTAACCCATAATCCCCCTCCCAAAGGCCCTGGGTTCATCTGTGCGGAGATATAGGCTCTGCCAGTCCCATCTCTCACCCACTGGTTCACAAGGGGCATTAGAGAGGGTCTGCACCCTGGACCCTATCCTCAGGAGAGGGGAATGAGACACTATTCCCTAGAGGACAGACATACAGACAGGCCTCCCTCCCCAGGCTTGGAGCCTAATCTCTCCCTCTGGCTGAGAAGGGATTCAAAGGGGCCAGGTACATACCCGCCCCACCAGTACCACGCCACGCACGCCTCCTGCTCCTGCAGCACGAAGCAGGGGATCTCCAGCACGTTGAAGAAGGCCACACCCACAACGTCAGAGATGGAGTCCCGCTGGTTCTGCAGGCATTGCTGGAACCTGTGCCAGAGCTGGCACTCAGGTCCCTGAACCACAGAGTCACCTGGCTCTTTACCTATTCACCCAGTTGCTACTAACCAGGTGATTTGGGGCCCAAGTGTTCCCACACCTCTCAAGCCTCAGCTTTCCCACCTGCACATGGGAATCCAGGCTGGCTGATCCCTTCAAGATTCTCTAGAATCCTGGTCTTTCCATGCAGGAACTAGGTGATACCACCTCACCCCTGAGCACTCAGTCCTCCCTGCCCACTGCCAACCTGGCATCACAGTCACAGTGGGAAATGGTGTGGAATCGGTAGTTCCGGATGCCATAGTTGTACTGGAATGGCGAGATGGTGTGTGAGCAGCGGTCGTGTTCCCGGCAGCAGAGATCAGGACCCTGGAAGACTCCTACAGGGAGCAGTGGGGGCACCAGCTCAGTAAAGTCCCGGGCACTACCTTATGTTGTGCCCACCTCATGTTGGGAGCAGGGACCTGGCTCTCCCCCCTGCCCTGACACAAATGCCTGGGATGGTTGGGCCAGTCACTCTCATCTATGGGACTCTCAATCTCACAGCTTAAAGTGAGCACCCAGATGCTGTTGAGCAATTCCACGTGCTGGCAGCCCACCCAGGAACCCTTGCCTATGGAAAGCTCTTTCTCAGAGAAGTTGGAGTCTGCCTCCAGAGTTCCCAAGCTCACATCCCCAATAAAACTCCGAAGTTATGAATGTGTGTGGAATGGAATGGCAAGCAGGCAGGGTGCAACCTTTCCAGCTGGCACAATGAGGCGTTGCCAGGATGCCAACCTGCTCCAACTTGGGTGCCAAGCCCTCCCCCTAACCCTCCATGTAGACGACAGTTGCACTGAGAGTACAAAAAAGAGTCATCTGTGTTTTTCACCATCTGAGCAATAGCACCCTTTAATGAGCATCTCCCAAGTACGCGACACTTCCTGTATCCAAGCTCACGGCAGCCCTGCAAGGGAGGAGCCACTTTCCTGGTGCAGGATCAGAGAAGGGAGGTGGCTTGGTCAGCTTGGATATGCTGAGCTGGAATTTCAACCCAGGCCCTGAGATCTCGGTGTCCACTCACTCCACTGGGCACTCTGTGTCCGTAGCTTACTCTCCGGTAGCAGTCCCTTGGCTTAACCAACCCTGGCTCCACCTCAGCCAGCGCCCTCCCTGGGATGGTGATTATGGAAGACTCCCAGATTTGAGTTTTTCCCATCTATGACCACATTTAAGCATCCCATTATGAGACTTATGGTCAATCCCCCCCCCCATTTTACAGCCAAGAAAATTGAGGTTCAGAGTGGTTAGTCATTCCCTCAAGGAAACACAGCCTGGAAGAGTGGGGGCTAAGCCTGCACTTTCTCTTTCCAGTCCCCCATCCCACACCCCCATGGCTCACCCAGCTCGGAGGAGTTCCCGGCGGAGTCCCCAACTCCACACCACAGCGTGCCAGGCATGGTCCAGCCTCTCTTCACCCTCTGGTGCCTTATGCCAGGTACTCCACTCTGCTCTGCTGCTCGCTTCTCCCTGGTGCTCACTGGACTGTCCTCATGCTCTTGGCAGGCTTCCCACTGACTCTGAAGGGTGGCCAGGACTCTCTGCAGCTCGGATCCAGGGGTGTGGATGAAGGAGTCCCGGGTGATCTCACCAGCACAGAGGTTACCAAAGGCTTCAGTGAGCTCGGACTCATCCTGCCGGCTACAAGCCTGCAGTCTGCCATGCTCATCCCAGTGGGCGTGGAACAGGGCCAGCCCCTGAGCATCCTTGCCCAGGAAGCTCAAGGATCCCAAGGGGTTGCCGGAGATGGGCCTGGCCAAGTGGCAGGAGGTGCTATTCCAATGGAGGATAACAGGGCCCCCCAAAGTCACCCCGAAGAAGCTCAGAACCAGCAATAGCACCACCAGAACCCCCATCCCGCCCTGGCCCAGGCACACAAAGCCCCCGTGACGCCTACCCAAGGTGGTCCACGAGGCAGCAGCTCTGTAGCTGAACGGAAGCTATGCCCAGCAGACCCGGTGCAGAGGGGCCAATGAATGGAGCTTTGGGAGGAGTAGGAAGGAGGCTGGAGTATGGGGTGATCTCAGGCTTGTAACTGAATCCACCGGCTGGGCAGGCCTCTGATTGGCTGAGGAGTGCACTTGTCGGGCCCACGCCCCCACTCTCTAGCTTTTCTCAGCGCTATCTAGTCACCTGCTGCCTGGCCCCGCCTGGATGGGGGCTGTGTGAGCCAAAGCCCCTGGCCCTGGGGGTGGCAGCCAGGAGGGGATTTGTCTCTCTGGGGAGGGAAGAGGGTTCAGGGGCTCAGAGGAGGTGCCCAGAACTTGTCCTAATCACCTTATTTACCTTGGGTGGCTGCCAAACCAACCTCCATGAGCTGGAAGAAAGCCATAGGTCTCTGCCAGAAATTGATGAGGACAGGACTGGGATTCTTTGGCCATACACCTGGGAACTCCTCAGGCTGCTGGGAAAGGGAGCATCCATCCCCTGGCCACCTGGGGGGCTAGCTCCTACCCTTCCACCCCCTGGTTCTGAGAAAGTTTCTCTGCATACTCAGGGGACAGTACCCCAGAGCTCCCCACTTCCTGGGACTCTAGTCAGAGCAGACCTTGAGATCAGCATGGGGCAAGGCTGATGCTCCGGACTTGAAGAAACAGGGTTCCCAGAGGAGCAGAGGGTGGCTCAGGCACTGGGTCTCTGGCCACCCCCACCCCTGAACTGTGGCCACCTGGGAAACACAGAAGGTATCTTGTCCCCCAAGAGCAGGGCTACACCCACACATGTTCCTGTGCTTTCATCTTCCAACCGTCCTGGGAAGTCAGATGCTTATATCCATAGTGCAGATGAAGGAACTGAGGGAGAGGAAACTGCAGGCGACAGTCAGGCCCTGCCTGGGAAGGGGTTAGAGGCTGAAACCCAGGGAGGCAGAACCTGGGGCAGAGCTGAGAAAGGAGAGGGAGGACTACAGGATATACAGACCCATCTCTGTGGCTTCAGAACCAGCAGCTCCTTTGTCCAAAGGGGTCACGGCCAATGAAGAGAAGGGGGCCGGAGGGGGGGGGGCGAGGGGGCGTGGAGTAGAGGTGGAGGGGGGAACCTAACAGCCAAACTCCTTCTCAGCAGAGGCTGGGAAAAGGAGCAGGGATGACAGGGAGACCTGGGCTTCCCAAAGGCAGGGACATAACTGGACAAAGACGAGTCCTCTGGAAAAATGCTGATTTTGGAAACCACCATCCTTCTGGAAACTTTGCCCTGTTGTAAGACCAACTGCCATCTACCTCCGGCCCTACCCATTTTTCCATGTGACAGAGCCCTTCCCTGCATACCACTAAGGAGGGGCTGGGAGGTACCATGGCACAAACACAACTTCAAGGTCAGACAGACGTAGCTGGGCTCCCTGCATGTGTGACCGTCTGAGGCTTAGAAACCTCAACTTCCCTGAGCCTCAGTTCCCTCGTTTGTATGACGGGCACAAGCATGGGAGGCACTTCACAGGATGTTGGGTAAGACTCAGCACAGTTCCTGGCATCCAAAACACCTCAACTTCAGGACATTCAGGACACCCCTGAGCAGGAAGCAGTTTACCCAGGAGACAGCAAACCCCAAATTTTCTAGGCCACAGATCTCCAGTGGCTAGTCCTGGCTAGTCAACTAGTCCTGGCTAGTCAAGCCTGCCTCTGTGACTTCAGGCTTGTCCCTGCCCCTCTCTAGGCCTCAGTCCCCTTCTCTGTTCATTGAGGGGTACAGTAAGGTTGACCTTGGAGGCCTCTTCCTGCCCAGGCCCCACAAGGAGGCAGGCTGGGGCCTGTCCAGGCCTCAAGGGAGGGTGTCGCTGGGTTTTGCCTTCAGATTCCACCCAGGCAGCCACGTCAGCCTCTAGGAACCCTGCCTCCCTCTGGGGTGCCCCTCAAAGGCTTTGGGTAGAGGATGTGGGGGGCAAACCAGCAGAACAGGACAGGCTGGGCCCTGCAGACAGAGGGGGGCTGACGCTTTCCTCTGGTTCCCTGGCCAATGTCTAGCACAGGGCAGGGTGCACAGTGTCAGTGGGGAGTAAGGGTGAGGGTCTCAGAAGCAGATGAATCCTTGCTCCCTGTCCCATGGTTTGTTCCTGTCTCTCTCCATCAGTTCCCATCATTCTTTGCCACCTTTTGGCTTCTTTCTCATCCTCCTTGTCTCTTGGTCTCTTTCTCTCCCTGACTCAGATTCTCTTCCTTGCTTTTTCTCCTCCATTCCTCCATCCCTCTTTCTCTCTGACCTTGTCTATTTCATTTTCTCTCTCCATTTCTTTCTTTTTTTTTGACACATGATCTTATTTAATCCAATTACCAGTGTGATCGCACGATCCAAGAACACTCAACTAATAAAACAAATATAATCAGGTGTTAAAGATTAGTCTTTAGGCATTAAGGCCAAGGATGCCACTCCTCCCCGTGAGCTCACAGACACAAAACCGCATCCACACCTCGGTGGCCACCAGCCATTCAGCAGAACTTCCTTCTCTGTGAGCCCGTGGACGCTACCAGTCTTAGCTTTATTGATCCCGCCCCCCGCCCCCCCAAGCTCTGAATAGCTGCAAGGATCTCAGCAAGGGCTAGAGGCACCAGCACAACTTTGTCCTAGCTCCAAAATGTAGCCAATGGAGGCTTGCAGTAAGTCACAGCTGCACTCTCTGCCAGGTTACAGACCAGCGGAACCCAGGTTCTACGGGGTTCTACAGTGTCTCTCCATTTCTTTCTCCTTCTTTCTCTCTCCTCTGTCTTGCTTTGTTTTTCACAGCCCCTACCTGTGTTTCACTCCCTCACTCCCCTTTTCTCAGTGCCCCCCCACAATCCTTCTTAATTTCTTTTTTTTTTTTAAATAGAGGCATGTTATTTATTTATTTGTTTGTTTGTTTGTTTTGTTTATACATGCACTGGAAGCGCGGGAGGGTGAGAGAATTCACCAGAGCAGGGAGCAGAGCAGGCAGAAGGACCGAAGTACACTGCTGAGGGGAGCAGCGGGCGGCAGGAGAGGTCTGCGCGCCATGTGGGACCCTCCTCCGGTGGCCGGGGAGCAGCCGGGGATCGAACCGGCGCCGCAGAGGCCGCAGGCAGCTTCGCAACCCAGCGCTCAGCGGCTGCGCCACCAGGGAGGCCCAATCCTTCTTAATTTCTGTCTCATTTTTTCTGCCCTGCAATTTCCGAGTCTCTCTCTCTCTGCTTGCTCCCCACGCTCATTTCCCCTCTTTTCCGCATTTCTCTCTTAATTCCTTCCCCCTCACTCCCCCACCCCATCTTGTCTTGTCCCTGTGTTCCTGTCTTTTGGCTTCTCTCTCCTTTTCCTCTTCTCTCTCTGTCTCTGTTTCTGCCTCGCCCATGGTTTTTCTGTTTTTTTGTTTCCTGTGTCTGCGTGTCTCCTTCCCTCCTTTAGTATTCCCACCTCTTTTTCTCTCCTAATTCTTCTCTCTTCCTCTCTTCTCTGCCTACCCTCCGCCTCCACGCCCTGACCCTCAGCCCAGGACCTGGTGCTCCCGCCCTTTCCCATTCCCACGTCCCCAGCCATGACCTCATCTCTGCTCACAACCCCTGCCCCTCCCTGGGAGACAGGTGAGACAGAGCTTCTCATCCCACTGTTGAGATGGCTGGAGAGAGGCCCCAGAAGAGGGGTCAGGAGTCACAAAGCAGATCAGGGGAGAAGCCAGGTCAGACTTCCCCAGGCCTATGGGAGGAGGCGCCCCTGGCCCAGGGAGACTCTCAGCTTCCCCACAGCCTCCCCACCCCAAGGCTTTCTTTCCCACTGCCTGAAAGATGCCCTTTTTCTACCCCTGGGAGCTGCCTCCCCCCCCCCCCCACCAGAGGACTCTTCAGCTCTCTGTGGCAGGAGACTGGTACACACAGTGCCTAGCTCCAGAACATTCTGCTGTTCATTCACAAACAAATAGCTACTGAGTGCCCATTATGTGTAAGGCAGAGGGCAAGGTCCCAGACAGAGAGGAGGAGAAGCTGGACAGAGCATGCTCAAGGGGAGGTGGAGATGGAACTCATCCCCTGGAGGTAAGGGGTCTGTCAGCCTTGAGGGCCTGAGGGGGAGTTGGGTCCTCTGGGAAGCCACCACCATGATGGCCAGGCATTCAAGAGAATTTTTGGAGGAAATGCCTGTGCAAGATCTGGGAGGGGGCTGGACTGGGCAGGGACAGCCTTCAGACTCTGTTGAAGGTCTGAGATCTACAGGCAGAGAGTAGCCGGGAAAGAGGGTTGAGAAGAAGAATTCTGCTCTGAGAAAGTCACCACCAGTCAACACAGACTCTGGTGCAAAGATTGCCCATAGAAGAGCCCTGCTTGGGCTGAAATGGCCAGGCCCTAGAGCCCCCCCATGTCCAGTCGTTCGCTGGGGGCACCCCAGGAAGACAGCGGACTCCAGAGCTGGTTCAGATGGTGGAAGTGCTGACACAGCAGACTGGCAGCTAGCTTCTCTCCTCGTTGCTAGTGACTGCCACACCCAGGAAGGTACTCACTCCTTTTTGGCTGAGGCGGCCCCCACTAGTGGCATACATGGAGACCTAGTGGCATACATGGAGCCTGGCATCTGGGGAGGAAACTCAGAAAGCAATCTTCTTCCAGGGGATCCCAGGACTAAGGAGTAGGGATCATGGGTACACAACCATCACAGATTTCTAGGTAGGAGGACATTAGTACACCTGGCATAGACTGAGTCCAGCCCAGGGCTAAGGGAGTCAGGGATGAGACTCATCCTTGTCCTGTGTAAAAGAACATCTGCATAGATAAGAAGAAATATATTTGATCCAACCCAATATCTTATTAATGTAGGGGGAGACGGTGGCGCAGTGGTTGAGCGCTGGGTTGCAAAGCTGCCAGCAGCCTCTGCAGCACCGGTTCAATCCCCGGCTGCTCCCCTGCCACCGGAGGAGGGTCCCGCATGGTGCGCAGACCTCTCCTGCCGCCCGCTGCTCCCCTCAGCAGTGTACTTCGGTCCTTCTGC